GTATGCTCTCAAGAAAGAGAGGAAACACAACCACAACAAGAAGATGAGGTATTACCGGATGCAAATCCTCGAAGAAATCTGGAAGATCGACAGGGACTGTTTTTAGTCAGGCAACTCAACCCAGAGCACAGACAGATCCTTCATGATATTACACTCGCAGGCCAATCAATCCTCACAGGAGATGATCTTGAAGGAGGTCAACCCCTTGAACGTGGTGACATAAGCTTCTTCTCATTATGGTTGATGATGTCGGCATTATCAGATGCTTCTTTTTCAACATTTATGGAGCAGTATGCACCTATGATGGGTTATGAGATCTCTTACGACAAGTATTATGAGTTCAAACTGGATATTGACCAAGTTCTCAAGGAGAATGAACACCTTGGCGCAGAAAATTTCTTTGGAGCAGAGGATCCTGATTTAGTTGACGATGATCCAGACACTCCTCTTCCAGATCTTCAAAGACCAGGCGCGGGTGATCCTGAGTACAAGCATACTATTGAAAGTTTGAACATTGAGGACAAGCATATCATTTTGGAAACTGATGATGACAAATTGGTTGAGTGTACATTGAAATGGATCAGTATGTGCAATCAGAATGTTCAACAAAAGATCAAGGACAGTTTTGTCAAACCAGAAGAACGACAAGAGAAAGAAGAGGATGAAGATGAGGAGATTGCTGTCGAAGAAGAAGAAGAAGAAAAAGACACACAGGAGCCACATGTCCCAGCTGAAAGCTCTTTAGAAAAAGAGGAATCAGCTCCACCTGAACGCTCCTCAGAGAAGGAGGAATCAGGGGAGAAGAAAACAGACATTCAAGATGATGAGACAGCTCCTGAAGTGAAACCTGCAATTCGACTTTACTATGGTCAAGATATCACTGGAAACGAAGATGATTCAGTTTTTCGAAAATTGAAGGATTGTTTTTCAGATGGTTACCATGGTGAATGGGCAGGATTTTACAACAAAGGTTATCCAGCGTCTTCGAAGCATCGACACATGTTCTGGCATGTCAAGTACAGGAAGACTATGTCTCCACATCAAGATTATTGGTACCATCTTACAGATGACCAGTTGATGATTGAGTACATTGCCAGACACAAGGATCAAAATCCACAACTAGAATTACAAGAACTCAATCAGCGCATTGAATATGGTTGTAGTGATCCTAGGATGCATCCTCTTCATCAAGACAAGGCAGAAAGATCCTCAAAAGAAGCAGAAAAGAGGATTGATGACGATTTTGGAAATCTCACAAGGGTACTCCAAGATTACGTTGAGGACCACAAGGTCTTGCCTTACTGTATGATCTTGCATAGCTTGGCTTACAGGTATTTAGGTGGAGGCCTATCAGACCCAACTTACAAGGATGCCGAATTTCCATACAGATCCTCTCCACAGATAACAGCAATGTTTTGGAATTTGGGAAACTGGTGCAGAAACAGATTTGAAAAATGCCCGGTTCCAGAAAGATTTCAACAATTCATTCCACACATTGACTACACTATCGATGAGGATCATGAAAAATTTGATGAAACCAAATCACAGTTCAACAATTACTTCATCAATGTCATCAAGAACTTTGGAGGACATCTTTTCATGAATTGCGAGGCTGGTTCATTGTATCCTCACAGAGAAAGACTCGACGAGGTTGACTTTAAAACTTGCTTCAATGACTATCATGACTTGATGGTGGCAGCTCGCCTTGGAAAGGATGGCTATATCAAGCAAATTGCTGGATATCACACAGATGACAACGACACACGAGTTCGACAAGTCTCATGGGCAATCTTTGAAGTATCTTGGGGAAAGACAAAGGATCGAGATACAGATGAGATTGTTGACTTGACAAGAGCTAGGATGAGGATGACACGTGTGTGCGTTTATCACGTCGGACAGAAGCATCAGACTCTGCTGGGATTGTTGGTGAGTGCTTAGCTGTTATGGCTTTTGAGTGTGCCAGATATCAAGTTGACTTCATCGCAGGTGATGGAAACAAGGCATGCTATTACAGCACACCAAAACCTCCAGGTGTCCCTACATACCAACACAGCCTTATCCAATTCTGGATCAACAGAATGGTAGGTGTTGCAACACAAGCCATGCGCAAGTATTTTGATTCATCTTGCCCTCCAATCAGGGTCAAGCATTTCATTTCTTGCAGTTATCGTGACTTGGATTTTCTTGCAACGCACTTGGATGGCATTACAACAGCAACATACACCGACGAGCTCATGAACAAGACAAATGGTAAAGGTGATTGTTGTATGTTAACAGTTGTTGAGTGGGGTCATTCACGTTTGATGTGTGAGGAACACCCAGAAGACTTTGAGGATGAAGATCACATGAACTATGTGGGTGAATTTTACTTCAAGGTAAATGAAACTTGCTTACATGGTGATCACAACATCTTCATGGTTGCCCCAAATGATCGCGATGCTCATAATCCAATTCTTATCCATCTTGATCCTTCTGATATGTCGTGGAATGAACGACATCATTACAAACATTCCTACAAGAAGAAGCAGTATGCAGATACAAGAAAGGAAAGACAGAAGGAGAAAAAGAGAAAAGCATATGAAGATCAAGCATCAACGTATCAGGGCAACACAGAGTGGGGTGGATCCTCATCTTCTTCGTCCAGACCATGGAGATCAAGCTTTTGGCTATGAGTGAGTGTATACTTCTTTAAATGAAGATAACACAGCATGAGAGGCCGTGTACAGTTTTTCTGTGCGTTCAACTTATTTCACACAAATGGCATATACTCTTTTAGATAGAGATAATGCCACAAGTGTCTGAACTTCAATTTAATGTAAAATAGATACTCTTGTAAATAGAGATACTATACACATTTATCTCCATGAACCATCCGGCGAGCAGACCACTCCGAATGGAGCGAACTCCAAAAATTACCAACTTCGATTTCAGTCCATTGTTTGCTTGAATGAGCAACTTTGGAGATCCGCTATTTCCGTTTATTTCGTGATTTGGTCAATTGTTTTTCGTATGACCTGAATTTCTGAATCTTGCAAACCCGAACTTTTCAATTCGAACCTTCACCGGTAGAGCGAGGCATTTTGCCTATGGAGAGACCGTGCGCGAAGCACCATTGGTCACTACTGGAAAAATTAGCGAATCCGCTGTTCTTTTTCGACATGTCCTTAGGACATTCGCTGCTTTCACGTGTTTCAATTCGAAGCCACTGCGTAACTCCGGTTTCTTTTGCTATTTGCCATTGTGTAGAGAAGTCAGGAAGATACTCTTAATACCAATTGGGTACGGCAAGGCGTAGTGCTCTACTCATTGCTTTTGAATTTGTGCCTGTGTTTTTGTTTCGACCTAATACCTACATAGGTACATGCATGAGTATTGAGCACATTTATATGCGCCCTTCAAGGCTCAAGAGGTATATAGAGTAACCCTGTAGACAAGCACGGACCGGCAACAGGCTGAGTAAAACAAGTGCTGTCATTGGGGAAGACGCCTTAGCTGATCTTGAAGTAGACGCTAGGGCCCCTCTTCACCCCCTCCCCCCCTGTGGTGTGGTGGATGGGTCCCATATACTGGTCCCATATGAGATCTTCCCCCTCCCCCCCCTGTGGTGTGGTGGGGGTGTGGCACTGTCCCCCTCCCCCCCCTGTGGTTTGGTGGGGGTGTGGTATGGTATGGTGGGTATGTATGGTGTGTATGGTCGGTCTGGTATGGCATGTTTGGAAAGTATGGTATGTTTGGTATATATGGTAGGTATGGTATGTATGGCATGAGTGGTTGGTATTGTATGGATGGTAGGTATGGTATGTAAGTCTGTTGGATATGGTATGTTTGATATGACAGTATGTATGGTCTGTATGGTATGTATGGTTACTATGATGGGTATGGAATATGTCCTATCTAAGGTAGGTATGGTATGTATGGCATGTATGCTTGCTATTGTATGTATGCTATTGTATGTATGGTAGGTGTGGTAATTACATTTCATATGTATGGTATGTATGGTATGTATGATAGATATGATAGGTATGGTATGCATGGCATCATTGACATGTATGGTAGGTACGGTATATGTTCAACAGAGGTAGTGTTGTCAGAGTACACAGGTAGTAAACAGGAAGTAGATACAGTAGATACATAGCACATATATGTATGACTATAGGTAGCACGTAGGTACTTTGAAGGAGTATGTGTGCTACGTAGGTCGCCTAAAAGGTAGCATGTACCTAGTAAATGCGAGGCTGGTAGTCAGAAATGCTGCAAAGACCTAGCAAATACGAAGCTGGACCTCAGAAATGCTGCCAATAGCTTGCAAATAGAAGGGAATTGGGGCTACTACCTGGGGACCCAACCCATAGGGGGGGGGGTGGAGAGACGGAGGACGGGACCATATATAGGCTATAAGGGTTGCATTGTGAGCCAAGTTTGTGAGCAAATCAGACCAGTTGATCCTAATGAAAACAAGGAAATGTAACCTTGTCCATGATTATGCAAAATTATTCCCTTCTCGCTCAATGCGCTGTTAGCAGCACATCTTTGACTGGTGGGAGCAAATAGAAAAAGAGAGTTCTGTGGTGGCCAGTTTTTCTTTTCAACACTAAGATGGCATAAGTTAGACTTCTTTGTATTGATCGTAGCGATTCTGCTATTCCTATTGGGGCAGGCATGCTAAGATGGCATAACAAGGGCCACCCACTTATTCGTATGCCATCATAAAAAAAACTGACATTCGCTTGAAATGCAATCTTGCCTGGCGCAGTGAAGATGCCATCTATTCATGATCCGGTATATGTTGTCTTTTGTTGGGTCAGCGGAAAAAGAATCCTACGGTGGTTCAGGAAGGGCGGTTACCCGTAGCAACAGCTGACCATTGCAGAGGAAGATGAGGAAAATTGAATGCATTGAGGCATATTGAGGCTTTTCGGGGTCACTTCTTGTGATGGTCCTTTTTTGGGGCGGAGGTATCTCAACTTTGGTCACGCAGATTTCCAGATTTGTAGATCGAGATGTGGAGCTGCGAGGTGGAAAAGATTCAGCTGGAAGGCAGGGTCAACGAAGTGGAGGTCCCACATGTGGTGACCCAGGAGCTGCTCCTTTAATGGCCCAGATGGGTACAGATTTGGATGATTTGGGGCAGATGGTCGCATTTCAAGTATGTTAGCATATTGAGGTATCCAACCTACCAAACAGTTGTTCAATGTTGTTCAAATTGTTGGTTTTCTATCCCAAGTTGGTTTCACACCTCATTCGGGGTATTGCTGCAATTGCTGTATTGACTCAATGGAATCCTGACTCCACTAAGTGGTAAGGCCAGATGGCGCCAGCTTTGTGAATATCTAGAGATACCCGTATTGATAGCCAAACATATCAAACATGGCTTGAAACCTCAGGAACTAAATGCAGGCCATGGTTGATTCCCGGAGGCTATAACTAAGGCTTTAAGGCAGTTTCTTCCTTCGTTGCAGGAGTGTTTGGTAGAACTACCTCAGCCAAAGGTAGTGGATGTGCTTCGCGAGGCTCGAAAAATACCACCGGAAAATCTGGCACTTCATCTGGCTGACTTAATCTGGCACTTCGCAGGTTGCCAAAGTGCAGTCCAAGCAGTTGGCGGGATGCTCAGGGGGTTGGATGTGAATGACATTTTTCTATATTTTCTGGTTGGTGGTTTGGAACTTTTTTTATTTTCCATAATATATGGGATAACGGGATAATCCTTCCCATTGACTAATATTTTTCAGAGGGGTTAAAACCACCAACCAGTTTTGTAGATCTTGTTTAAACTGATCATGATTCGAATGATAAGCATCTGCCACCATGGAACCTGCTGAAGGCCAAGCACTTTGCAAGGCCTGTGGTGCAGTGGAAGGAAAGCATCCGTGAGGCCCGAGCCTGCGCAGCCCGGTTTCAGGGCCATAAATTGGGGCTGTCGTACCATGGTTTAGCCGTTTACCCCATGCTTATCCATACGATTCATCATGATTTATCGCCATTAAACACAAAGAGTTCACGGGGTTCATCATGGTTCATCATCAAACTTCAGTTGATCATCAAGATCCCATGATGTATGATTTATTGATTTGTCATTATGTTCCCCATGAAAGAAAGATAAAGAAAGACCATGTTACCATGTTCCAGGCCCCAAAACATTGGTCAACAGCTTCAACCTGAAGCTTTTCACGGCAGCCCAGAACCCCTTTTAACGTTGCGCATCTTTAAAGTTTATTTGATTGGTATTTTCCAACGTTCATGGATAGACCCACCGGGTTCATGTGACACATGTGTTCATTTAGAGTCGATCCCCGCCAGGATAGGTGCAATCATATGGGAAAGATCAACTGAACTCCATTTTTCCGATGGTAAATCCTCCAATGTCATGTCGCAAAAGATGGTAATTATAAGTCTTTGCATCATTTTTCATCCATGTTCATGGTTTTTTTCCTTTTTTTGGGCCACTTTTTTCATCGGTCCAATGGTCCAATGGTCCTGGCAGATCTGCCAGGTACCACAGACCACGCTTCGGGAACAGCTGCAGGAAGTGCCACAGCTGCGAACTGTGGAAGTCCTGCGTGAGGTGCGCGGCCACGCTTCGGTTTAGCGAATCTGGGGAGAAGAAAACCCTGGGAATCATGGGAATCACATAGGAATCACATAGGAATAATAGGGTTTCATGGTAATCAGGTAATCCATGTGGGGAAAACATGGGAAAACAATGTCATAAACCAGCCATGACTGGGAATGGTAAGCATATCACCTATAAACATGGTGATTTGGGGATGGTTTATTATTGTTTTACCCACATTAGTTGATAGATGTTGAGAGTTTATATATATATACATATATCCAACAATCATAGGGTTGGACCAACTATTCACTACAATATATCGAGATGATAGTTAACCACCAATCTTAAGGATAACCAATGATCATAGGTATGGTTAACTTATGATAAACCCTCGGCCCTCGTCTATGGGATATATGTTGGATCATCATTATGTTTCATTAGTTCATCATGCTTGGTGAATTACGAACTAATTCAGCCAGATGAATGCGATATAATGCGATAGCCTTCCAACAATCATTGGGATATCGTGAAAATTCATGATATGTGATGCTTTGGGGAGATTTATCATGATTTATCCAACCAATAATAGTGGGGGTATAGTGGCAATATAAGCAAAGACCATCAACGACCTATGGCTGAGTGGGTTGATAGGTTTCAGTGATGATACATGATGATATACGATGATGGTGATTGTGATGAAACCAACCATGATGATCCAAAATAGATGGGGAAAGTGGGATAATTTCAACATATGTGATGTCACTAATGAACTGGAATTGTTGGGAATAGTATAGATTCTACGAGTTGTGTGGATGTTACATGATGTTTACGGTAGGAATTGTCTTTGGGCAACTTTCGGAATTGCTGGAATCATTTGAATCGCTGGCAAGATTGAAATAAGATTGAAATAAAGTTGACTCAAAGATTTTTCCAACATACTCAACCTGAGACTGCAAAGCACAAAGTTCCAAGTTGAAGTCGCAGTTTGAACGTTTCAGAGAGATGTTAACAGATTCGTTAAGCATGTTTGACATTTTTTTTGGCGTTCCGAAGGTCCCCAAACCGGAAGTGCAGCGGGTCGAGAAGCAGGTTCGAGCGGTTGGAGCTGCGATATGGAAGATGTCCTGTTTCAACTGTTCAGCAGCTTTTCTTTCGAGATATCAACAGTGTGTAACTCCAATTTTGACAAAGAAAAATGCAACCACTTGGTGATTAGGAGAGAGTTAAGGAGCTATTCTTATCCATACTGTGGTCCATACTCCCCATTTTTTTCTCGTGGAGCATGGTGGAGCTACGAATTGAGTTTCCCACGTTTGATACGCTCAACCAATTGGGTTTAATATGTTTCATCCGCAAAGTGCAATTGGAATCTGGAGATTTTCTGGGGATTGTGGATCCATTGGATATCCATTGGATCTCCATTGGAGAGGTGGAAGTGCCTACGATCCAGCTGCAAGAGCGCTTGGTGGACGTCCCATGCGTGGAACTGCGGGAAGAGCCGACAGAGGTCACGTCACTGGATTGATGACGTGAAAGGATGGTAAAAATGGCATGGTTTTGGCTGGTAAAAATGGGGGAAATATTAGGGGCATCCCCAAAACTATGGAGAAACTTGATGAAACATCCGGAAAATGATAAGACATGATAAAAAATCAGGTGCCAAATGTGATGGAAGTTGTCATTTGGCTGGCACCCTGCAAGTTGGAAAGATTCCTGTTTGGAGCATGGAGAAAAGAATAAAAAGGAAAGTCTATGCCATATCACCAATGCCATCCATGTTTAATCCTGTTCGCCAGCACATTCTTTCAACAGCCAGACCTTGTTTTTCTTGTGTGCGGCAGGTGGCCAAAGTGGAAATCCGCGAAGTGGTACGACAAGTTCCCAAAGTAGAGGTACACGTCGCTGCCATCTGCCATTTCCCTGCCATTTTGGCCATGGATTCTGCAGGTGAAATATGTGGAAAAGAAGGTCCCCAAGCAGGTCATCCAATACGCATCTCGGCTTGGTGATATTTGCGCATCAACTTTTCCACCTGCAAAGGTTTGCCAGAAATATATGAAATCACATAATCACACCCAAACGAAAGGCTGGTTTACTCTGGATCTATTTATGTAAGGCTTCATTTCTATTGGACCTTCATGTCAGTTCCATCATATCCCCAGGATTTCTCCCTGGTGGGATGAGTTGTGCTGACCACATCACATGTCTAGGTCGAAAAGACGGTGGAAGTGCCTCAAGTGGTGTACGAGGAAGTCATTGTGGAAGTGCCCGAGGTGGAAATCAAGGAGCTCCTTGAGATGTCAGCTGCAGCTGCTGATGGCTGAGATGGGTGGATGAGACTGAAATTTCGGAAAGCCATTCCATCAACCATGGATAAAAGCATGGATGAATCATGCTTGATTAAGGTTTGAATCATGATTGGTTTATTTTTTCAAAAGCCCTGATTTTCTCCATTGTGATGGCCATATTTGGATTATTTGGATGTAGCATCAGATTACCGTCATACATCATACCATCATTTTTTCATAGCTGAACTTTGAGACCTTGGGCCAGCAATAAGGCGATCTTTGGACACCGTCTTTACCTTGAAAAAACAAAAGGGTCCTGGAATTAAAGTTTCCATTTTTTTTATTGCAGCTATATGATGTATATATGATGTTAATATGTTATAAGAAAAGGTGGTCATCCAATGTCATAGATGACCTATAGATGACCCAAAAAGATGCTTGGAGGTTTGACTTTCACCATTAAAATGAGCCGAGCGCACCATTCATATCCTGCGACAGTCAGGAGATGGTTCGGCAGGTGCCAGTTCCCGTGGTGCAGTACATTGATAAACCGGTGCCCCGACGAAGTCTACGAGCCGTTGAGAAGGTGGTTCCCTTCCCACAGGTCTTTCATGAGGCCTGGGGTTCGCTAATTTGTTCGCTGATTTGACCAGCAGAGGAATCAGCAGAGGAATTCCTCCATCGTAATATGTTGGCATCTCATCCGTCTAATGAGTCTCATCCCATCCAGATATCGACAGATGTGTGGTTCTCCAAATGTGTGTTCCTTTTCTTGATGGTTTCAAAGTTTTAGGAACAACATCCATTGCCAATAATGCGCGATGAATTTCGACAAATATCAAAATATCGAATAGAATAGAATAGCAAAAAATATTTCTTAAGATATTTGAACTATATGATTGTATATAAACAATATATAAACAATATATAAACAATATATAAACCATATTCCAAAATGGTTGGAGAAAGCACCGCCAGGAACAGATCGTGGAGGTGCCCCAACAGATGGCCGTGGAGCTGGCGGTCCAGGTGCCCAAGGTGCAGTACACCACGAGTCCCAAGGAGTTTCCAAAGGTGCTGCTGGAAGCTCGTGAGGTGGTCCAAAGCTCAGTTGGAAAATCATGGATCTATGGAGATTTTTCTAAATATCAGTTGGAAAAAAAACATCAACCTTTAACCATACATCATGGGATCATCAACGTTGATCATATTAAATGAATTTAAATGATAGATATCGAATAATGATTATCTATAGATATCATCGATAAATATCATCTAAATTGTCCCTGAAAAAATGATCTGCGAAATAAAAACGGAAAAAAAAAACAGCTGCAAGATGCTAAGATATATGCCAACATATACCAACATATTAGCAGGTTTCGTTCTCTTCGTTTTCCAAGCCTCGGAGCCTCCTCGATCCTCGCCTCGTCTTAGGCGGTGGAGGTTCCAGTAGTTCTGCGGGAAGAGCGAGTCGTGGAGGTACCACAGGTGCAGTCGGTTCCACTGGTGCGAGTCCTCAGGGTGATTTTCTTCGAGGATTTCTGTAGAGATTTGCCATGATTTGCCATTACGACTCATTACGGAGGGGAATCACCATTGAAATCACAGATGGTTTAATTTACCCCAACTTATATGTGTAATGTCTATGATTTATATGTTGATTCTAGAAAATATTGAGGCTTGAAGGCGAGAATCAGTTGGAACCAAATTGCTGGAACTCTAGCATAAAATCTTAATATGACGTGTATAGTGATCCATCCTGGTTTTCCTCAAGGGTCTGTGCTCATTCAAATCAGTCAGTGGCTGTCAGTTGCATGTCTTTAATCACAATCCCCTGATGATATGAAGAGAAGCAAACCAACCGCAAATGTATTCAAACAAGGAACATCTGGATCTGATGTCCTCAAGTCTATGGTTTTTGTTCAGTTGTTGCAACATGTTGGGTCTACCGGGGGGGTTTGCCCGGAATTTTAACATGTGGGGTGGGGTGGGGTGGGGGGGGGTGTGTCAACGTTGGTGTTCATGTGTACACATGGTACGCTGCTGGTGTGTTGATGTGTACACATGGTACGTGGGGGGGGGTGGGGTGGGGTGGGGTGGGGTGTGTCAACGTTGGTGTTCATGTGTACACATGGTACGCTGCTGGTGTGTTGATGTGTACACATGGTACGCTGCTGGTGTGTTCATGTGTACACATGGTGCGCTGCTGGTGTGTTCATGTGTACACATGGTACGCTGCTGGTGTGTTCATTGTGCACATGGTACGCTGCTGGTGTGTCATGTGCAAACGTTTCACGCAATCGCAGTGTCATGTTTGATTGTCCATCGTTTCCTCATCTTGATTGGGTTCAATGTATTTCTTCTTGCCATGTGTCTCCTTTCTGTCTGACTCTTTCTGTTTACTTCTGGTGTATGTGATATATATATATATGTATGTATACTCCATGTCTGTCTATATATGTATGCAAATCGTGTCAAATGGAAACGCTGTAAATTACAGGTGATTGTTGATTTTTCCGCCAGATTTGGCAAAAAAAACTCAAGTTTGGACATTGTCAAAACATTCAATGATCAATTGCATCTGAAAAAAAAGATATGAAGTCTACTTGTGAACAACCACATTTTATATGAAAAAACACAGTAAAATCAACACCATGACTACAAGAACAACAAACGGCTGCGGATACTCATCACATGTAGTCACAGTCGACCTTGTTCCAAGCCGGGCAAACCCCCCCGGCGGAGCCAACATGTTGCAACCGCATGATAAACTTCCCAGCAAAATGAGATGATTTTCAGAGCGCGTTTGTGGCCTTTGACCGAGGTGAGACAGAGACTTTGCCCCTCCATGCAGGCACCTTTGATTGCCAATCATTGTCTGATCAAAGTTGTCCTAAAAGTTACGGATGATCCATGAGTTCATGATGATATCATGTTTGATCGAGTATCCATTTATATCCATTTGTTGATCATTTGAAGAAACGTCTATGAGGAATCCACATGATATACCTGATTGGACCGGAGGCAGTGGATAAACCTGTCCCCTACATAGAGACGCGGGTGCAAGAGCGTCAAGTGCAGGCAGGGGAGGGAATGGATCCGCATCGCACAGCTGGTGTTGTATTTTTGTAGCATGATAGAAGCATAGCAACATGTTTGCTCGTTAATTCATGTAAAACCCTGTAAAATTGTTGGTGGAATGTTGAACGTTGATCTGAAAAAAATCCACAAGGCATTAACTAATCATTAACTATAATAATTAAAGTTACAAAATGTTACAAACATATCATGGTACCAGACTCCACCAGAGGCTCATCTCCCATCATTTTCGCCACGTTTTCCACCTGCCCCCACCGTCCTGCCAGGTCCCATATGTCCTGCAAGAGGAGGCCATCGCCGAAGTTCCTCAGCAGCAGCTGGTGGAGCTGAGACGCGAGGAGCTGCAGCCAATGGCTGAAGAAGTGCTGAAGCAGGTGCCTTGAAATAACGCTGGGAGTGGAAGATCCAGCCATCAAAAATGTGGGTTGATATCACTTTCATTGATAGGGGGATTATGACTATAGTAAATAATAATAATAATAGTATATATATATGACTATAAGATATTATAAACCTATCTGTGTTGGCTCAGAATTACGATTAATATAGGAAGGGGATGATCACTATCCATGAACAGATCTGGGAGGTCAGGTGCTGATGGGACGAGAATGTCAGATGTCTGGACCTTATGATATCAGTTGGTATAAATTAGAAACATCTAAAAAATGAATTAGGATGATTGGGATGACTAGAACTTGATATGAATTGGGAGAAACAACACTTTTTAAGTCGACGACAAGCATTGTAGATGGGATAGCAGTGGAAATGGTGATATCAGCATCATACAGCTAAAGTAAGTCCACATGTTTTCCTAACAGACGGGCACAAGGCGGACCCATCCCCATTCTCGATGGATTTTTCTTACAAGCCACACCAACCATACGATAAAGAATGGCAGTTGTTCGTGAGACTTAGACTAGATTCTGCAGAAAGGAGAGATGATGATACAAATGATTTTCATATGACTTTGAGATTTTCAGATTTCTCCAGGCATAGATGTTTGATGTTTGTTTGATGTGTGTTTGATGTTTGATGTGTCATTTTGTGTCGACAGGTGCCCAAATACCAAGTGGAGTATGTGGAGAAGGTGGTGGAAGTCCAGTCTCAGGTGGCGCAGGAGCCTTCTGCTGGTCAGGTGGATGTCGATATGTCGATAATTCATGGATATTAAGCTAATAATGTTATACAATGTTAAGTGTTAAATTGATGTTTGTTGATATCTTTGATACATATATATATATATATATACAATTATATATATATATATAGTTTTGGATGGGAAACTGTTAAACTGATGTCATTTGGTATCATGTTTGCTGTTTCGGAGGCCCGGCTCGGGTGCATCCGGTGTGGAGTGGTTTGGCAATTTTTGTCACACTTGGAGACGTCCATTTTGAGAGAGTCCTGGCAGATTTCGCGTAATTCGGAAATTTAGATGTTTTCATTCATGACGGTGAAACAACATTTTATATATATATATATTATTATTAGTAGTAGTAGTAGTAGTATTATTAGTATTATTATTAGTATTATTATTATACAATTGTATGTTTATAATATATAATAATCATGCCAACTATACATATATATCTATACATGTGTTTATTTAAAATCGCAGCATAATTGGGAGACGGTCCGTGATGGGATGACCAGGAGACGTCCCCGTCTCGGGAGTCAAGATCGCAGGCATGATCCATGACTTACAACTTGATGAACGTTTGGGTTGAAGGAAAAAATTGGGGGAAAAACCTAGAGTTAATATAAATATATAAGGGGTTTAACCATATTTAAGCTATTATAATTAATTGTTTAGGGGTTGTAATCCATGTAGCCAACAAACATAGGGGGCATGACCTCTTCAGAATTTAGATCATCTTGGTACCATGGAATCAAAGTTGTTAGCTTCAACAAATGTGTCAGTCAAAAAAAAATGCCTGCAGTCACTAAAAAACAAAAAATGGGGTTAGTGATTGGAAACAGTTGCGTGCGTTTGAACATGTTTGAACATGTTTGAACATCAAATATGGTTCATCCTTTGTCATTCCAAAATCTTGGGATATGTTGGACTGTTGCGATTTCCGTCGCTTGGTAGACCTTGGTAGGCCGGTGGTACAGCCGTGGCGGTGTCAACCATCTCCACCCAGAAATCTGCTTCTTTGCATAGAGCTGCTGGGCGGCATCTTGGGATCCCATGATATCCCATGGCTTGGTGATGAATTGAGCTGGGCATGGGTCAAAACCGAGATTTAAAAAAAAAAAAAAACTGTTTTTTTTGGCTTGAATTCACCTATGTTCTTTGATTTCAAGATATCTCAAGGAGGTTTTTGAGTTTTCACTCCGTTTTTAATCGTTTTTACGGATGTTTTGATCAGTTGAAAGATGTTGAAACATGTTGAAATAAGTGGCGCGGTGACGATTCTGACGTACTGAGGAGATCCAGGGTCTGGGTCTGGGTCAGTTCCATGAAAGCACTTGCCCCAAGTGTGGCCGAAGTCGAGTGTATTGACCTCAGGACGCGGGTTGTGTGTTGGGTCATTTGGGTCCTGACGTTCGATGATTTTCTTGGCTTTTCTTGGGTCATATAAGTCATATGAGTCATATATTGAGTTTTGTTTGTTGATTTTGGTTATATTTTGGTTATTTCATGTTATTTCACTTCTTGAATTTCTGGATGTGTCCCTCTTTAAGGTCTTTGTACATTGAAATGATCCATTAGGATCCATTGGGCCGATCTTTTGGATCAGAACGGTCAACATACGAAAACGATTCATGTCCGCACAGCCTTGAGGCAAAACTCAAGGTTGCCGCCTGAGCAAAGCTGATGGCAAGGGTTTCATGCCAAAAAAAATGCGATTTTGGAGATCCTCAGGTTTTGCCACGGATGCGGTTATCAGTATGAGGTCAGATCCTGAGAAGTTGCTGATTGCTGCTGATTGATTTTGCTGCTGATTGATGCCTCAACTGTGTTCAGAGACGGCTTTTGGGATTGTTTCAGGCGTGAAGTGCGCGAGGCTAATGACTGAAGTGTGTCGCACTAGCGACGTTTTCCCATTGCTTTAAAGCGACGAGAAGGCACCGATTCAAAGAGCTTCGCATACAAGAAGACGGATGTGACACTTCGACATCTAAAGTTTCCCCAAGTGTCGAAACAAGCTGCGCAGAGTCTCCTGGTGTGCAAAGCTCTACATGGATTTCCGGCAGAAAAGAGATCGTCCCAGTGAATTTTCACTGTGTCAGTTGTGTCCGTTGTGTCCGTTGTATATCGCTTTACGTACGGATTATGGCTGAGATCAAGCTGCTAAAGGCCCAAGCAGCTCAGTTTAGATAGTTTAGTACCAGCTTCCATGAAGTCATGGTTCGCCAGGAGAAATTTGGCGGAATGACATTGCGGAGTGACTTCAAAATAACATTCGACCTGCAGAATGGATGGGAAATATATGGAAATATGATGAAATATGTAATCAGCAGGTTCTCCAGAGGAACACTTGGGTCTATGTGCATCATGTTTTAGATGACCTCAACAGACTCTGCACCCACAGCCATGCCTGTGCCAGCTGTCCATGTTGTCGGAAGCTGAGTGCTACCATCCCAGTTGGCAACAGGTAAACAAAATATATGTGAAAGCCAACTGTAAAATAGGCTGGGTAAATGTTGGCAACGATTATTGCACACACTAACTACGTAACATATATACTTATATAATATATATATATACGTATATATATATTATATACACATATTATAGCCTATGATAGCCTATGCTGTAGCCGTATACTTCTAAGTTGGGTAAGCCATGGGCCTGGACACAAAATGTGCCACAAAATCTGCCAAGGCCCTCAGTGCAATCTGAAGTGTTCTGTGGCGCTGTGTTGGCCCCAGGACCACTTCAGCATCCAAAAGTGGGGAGAGCAGGAAACTCTAAATATGGATCTCTGTTTAGTATTTTTATGTTGAGTGATTATTAGTTATCAGTTACTATTCTTAGTTTGTGTTATTGGTGGTGTATTACTATCGTTTTTTTTTGTTTCTTAATGCACATTTTAAGAGAAGCTGAATAAAATCAATGCACGGCCGTTGATCGTCTCCACAAATTGAGAGCCCAGAACTGTCACATTTTTCAGGTCCACAGTGCTTTGTGGCACGATCTACCTCCTTCTACCAGGTGCACCGGTTGGAACCGCTGGATTGGAAAGGGATAGCTATCGGATAGATTGGATGTCGTTGGCTACTATTGGTTTATTTTGACCTCGGTTGCTACTGGTTGTTATTGGTTTTTGACAAAGATGATGGATTTTGGATGGATTTTGATTGATGCTATTGATTTGACTTTAGTAGACAAGATGGATTTCGGAGGACTTTGGTTGATTTGGGGGTTGTTTCATGTTGTTTCCAATGTCTTAAAGTTCCTCCCAGTGTTTCTTGGTCGATCCTAGTGTTTCACCGATGTGAAGCCAGGGATTGGGAAGAGACGGCTGTGAGTCCCTCAGTGTTTCTTGCTTCACAGATCTTCACAGCGCCAAATGATGTCTGGCTGAGGTCAAATTGCAAAAACTGGGTTTTCGGTTTGGCGCCAAACTGTAGCTATTAATGTGATGCTATTTTGGACATGTTCTGAAATGGATGCGACTAATATGTTTCAGTTGTTTGTTGCTTTCAGGTCATATCTCTTGGTGATTTCCTGGCGATTTCTACAAGGATTCGATCCCGTGAGCTGTGCCCATTTTGCAGTTGAATGCGCTACAAGTTTCACACGGCATGGTGCCTATGGTGCCTAGATCCCTTTCCATTTGACATGTTCCTGAATTAGTTTAGCATTGGAAACGAATTGAAATATGAGCAGACATCAAAAAGCAACCATGCCCTTCTGGAAGTCCAAAATCATCATCGGGACTGCCTTTGTTTTGCCAAAAAATCAATTTCCATTTCCAAAAACTAGTGTCTAAATTTACTCTGGAATATTGTTGTGCAATCCAGATATAGTTACCCTATATCGCCTATATCTTGTGTTGAAACGAGGTCTTTGAAGTGGCCCCAGTTGTGAGCAGTCAGAGTGGCAGTCACTTGTCACATCTGCCTGTAGGAGTTGGCGAGTTCAGCGAAGGCGAGATGTCTTGAGATTTGTAAAGTGACTACAAAAAAGTAGAGATCTATGGAATTCTATGGATATCATATCAGATAAAATATATCTTCCAGTTTGGATAAAATATCTTCCAGTCTGGATACAAATGATAAAACCACATAAAATCCGAAAATCTCCCGATGTTGATCAATGTTGATCTCGCCAAACCAAGACGGGGGAGGTTTGAAGTATTACGTGGACGCCGTGGAGAGCCTCCTGCAACATGGACTGGAGCCCGTCTTGGTCCTGGACTTCAACGTGTTGGGCCCCCAGCTGTGACATGCTGTGACGACTTCGCGCCTCCCGCCATGGTTGTGCGGCGCCAAGGCCTCAACAAACGTGTCAGGAGTGCTGAGAGCGCCGCTGGGGGGGTTTCACCGTACTGACTGATGGGTGATCACACTGATATTTAAAAACACGGCAACTATTCGATATAGATGGAATATAGATGGATACATAGTTGTAGCTCGACTTTCCAAACCATCAGTGCTCCACGGAAGTCCAGTTGATGTTCTTTCGCTCTGCATCACTTCGTCACTGGATCACTTGGGATGTGTATGAGAGTGTATGATGTGTTTGACCTGTTTGACCATGTTCGGCCCAGAGTTTGCAGGATTTCCAAAGTCCTCTTCCTGCGCAACTTGCGCAAGTGATGGATGCCTTCATCCCTCACGTACGTTGCTGGTTCACGTGACCTGGATCGACTGGGAAACATGGGGATGATTGGGGATCTGAGTACAGTTCAAAACAGATATTCGGATTGGATCTTGATCAGAGTATTCATAAAGATATGCCTATAGATCTAATATATAAGCACATATAAACTATTTTCGGTCCATTAAATCTATTGAGATGTCAGGTAATTATTCTTGTATTACCCTTAGCTCATGGATACGTATGGCATTGGTGGAGTGCTGTGTACAAGTCCAGTAGTTCGGTATCGGCCCAGGCTCTTGGAGCACTCCCGGAACCATCCAGGGAAGTCTCCAGAGGCGCTGTGATGAACTGGTCATCTCCAAATCCAGGTTCAATTCATTTATAGCATATCAGTAAATTGTATATCCATTTGAAATTAACATATCCAGTTAATATATGTTAATATCCATCTGTCAAGTCGAGTTCAGAAACTAAAGTTCCAATCCATCTCGATCTCCTTTGGCAATATATGTCATGTTTTTTCCATGTTTTTCCCCTGAATTTTGGAGATTTGGGTGATTTTGGGTGCCAGGTGAAGCGTCGTTGGCACAGCGAGCACAGCGATCCCTTCCATTGCGCCAGGCTGGGGGATGCGGCGGCGCAACTGGCCTTGGCACAGCAGGGCGTGGCGCTGGGGGTGCTGCTGGCCATCGACTGGTTGGAGCCCGGTGACGCCGGTGACGGTGGGATGGCGAAGGAACTCACGGAACGGATCATGAGGCGACAAATGGCCAGCTTTTGCTGGGAGAACTCGGAGAAATCCAATGGAACCAATGGAGGTCATGGAAACAATGGTTCTATGAGTTCTATGAGTTTGGGATATGGGAACAAAGCTGATGTGAAGTCTCCGTTCAGGGATCGGAGCATCATGATCCTGCCACGCTATGCTGGACATATTCATGTCCTTGCACCCAGAGATGTGAAGATTTCAGACATGTCAAGTCTGGATTTCAAGACACTCAAAAAGATGGTGAAATGGTTTCGTGAAGAAGCAGGGCTTGCAGATGATGCCGCCATACATATCATTGCTTCCATCCACACTCCGGTCAGTCAAATCTTCCATGGAATCCAGCATATTCACCATATGAATGAGAGACTCGGCATCGAGGGAATTCCACAATCCTTTGCCGGGTTTTGGATTGACGAGGAGAATGCTATGAACGCTATGAGTATCGATGCACGGCCAAAGCTGCCGCAAAGTTTTCAAACATCGTCCCCTTTTGAAGTCATGGAGGAGATCCGAAGACTTTTCTCGACTTCGGGAGATCTTGGGGCTTCGGGGGCTTCGACTCTGTCGTTCTTAGTCGCACTGAGCGCTTTGGAACATTTGGGAGACTTGGATGATCAGACGATCTCCCGAATAAGTGCTGCCATCAAGGGATCAGTTGGAACGGATGGAATGCATGGAACGCATGGAACGGATGGAGTGCCACCAGTGGCGACTTCCCAGACGGCTTCCCCAGCTTCCCCAGCTTCCAGGCAGGCCAAATGGGACAGGACTTTGAGTGGCGCCGTGAATTTCCGCCGCAAGAAATCCAGAGATTTCGCGACCTTGGCCGAAATGGAGATGGAGATCATGGACCCGACAGGTCACCCGACTCCGCAGACGCAGACGCAGCAGATCTGCGATTTGGCGGCGCAGATCTTTCTTTCCTGGCGCCGGAAGATGCGAGGCTCGCTGGAGTCCGAGCAGCTCGGCACAGAGAAGCTTTAAACATTTAGTCCAAGAGGGTAAATATCATGAGATTACCTCAGATTGCAGATATGTTATGATATGTTATGATATGTTACAGCATATTTGCAACATAATTTGCAACATAATTTGCAACATAATTTGCAACTATCTATGAGTGCATAGAAAATCTGATGTACTGATGATTCAATGTATTCAATGGATATCCCGGATATCCCACTTATCGCCTGCATCGACCTGAGGATGATGTGTTTCTGCGGTCACCCGGATCACCCGGATCACCCGGACCCGGGCCGATTGCATATCCCCAGCATCCTGGCCTCGTTGGAAGCGGTGCTTCTTCTGAGCCAAGTCCAGCTGCCGGAGCTGAGGCCGAAATTTTACAAAATTTTTACAGATCATCATGGTATTTTACATTAATTAAATCCTATTACATCCCATTAAATGTATCCTGGGTATTAATGTATCCCATTACATCCCATTACATCCCATTACCATTAAATGTCCATTAAAATGGGATACAATGGTAAATTTTACAAAAATCATGGCTAAAATCATGGTAACGTCCCTGTCCGTCATGGTTCTCCATCACTTTTTCCCTCGCCTTTCAGGTTCTGCCAGAAAGCCTGCCTGGCCCTGCGAGCTGCAAAGGCTGGACATGACCCCAAGAATAGACTGATTAATATGCCCTTGTTAGTTGTTGATGATTGAGAAGCCCGTAGGTCTCCTTTGAGTTTTTTTGGTGGGTCACCTTTGGGTTGAAAACTCCCGTTGAATCCATTGATATGAAGATCCATGGACCCAGCCATTTGTACCGAAAGGAACGGACGTGTATGGATGGTGGTTGCCCTTTTCATTAAACACATCGAATCCGACATGTACATTTCTTACAACATGGTCCGTCATACTTTCCAACTATATTGATATTAGAATATGTGCAATATCAATATATCAACGTATAGTATAATATAATATAATATAATATGATATAATATAATATAATATAATATATAATTTTATAATAATATATATATTGCAACTATTGCAACATAGGATATAAGTCAACATAGTCAACATACCGTGCTCTCAAAATCCGTCCTTTCAGGAATCCTCTACGAGGAGTCTACCGCCTCTGCAGCCGCTGCCGCTGCAGCCATCAGTTCCCTGGTAGGATTTGGGGCTGTCAATCTGTCAAATCATGGGAGCAATGACAATACAAAAAATGGCTATGACACACCTACTGTAATCAGAAGAACATCTGCTGTTTGTCTCCAGATATGTTTCCACCATTTTTCGGTGGCGTTTTGGTGACGACTTGAGGCGAAACCAGCTCAAAGCCAAAGCAATGATGTTGAGGTGCTGCTGAAATTGGCGGTCAGGGGTCAAAGATTGAAGTTGGTTGGAAATGATGCGGATATCTTGGCATATATGGGCATGACAAGAATAATGCTTCACTCCCAAAAAATCATCCCAAAAAAATCATCCCAAAAGTATCCCCAAAAATCATCCAATCAACATTTGGGGCATGTCCTCTTGGGATACTTCACAGGCTGCCGGCTTAGCAGCCCTCTTCGTCTCGCTGCTCGGCGTCGCACTACAGAAATGGGATCATTGTCCATTGCCATATTTCATTGAGGGTAGACCCCAACAGAACTGGGATACAGTATGGTACAGTGCTGTAAGTCTTATATGTGCAACATAAGTTAAATGATGGAGATTGATTGTGTCTGAAGAAAATGGAACTTATTGGAACTTATTGGAACTTAGGGAACCACTGAATTCATTAATCCACTAAAAGCTACTCTGGGAGTGAAGCTCAGGTGGAGCCTGCATGGGGCAACTGAAAATGGAGCTCTGCGATGGCCCAATGGCTGGTCTCCCATTGGGTTTCTGGTGGGATGATGGTCAGTGATTCTGGCTGGTCGTTGTCTTGTTGTTGTTTGGTTTTGTTTAACCATTTTAACCCTTAGGATTTCATAGGATTTGGAGGTTTGGAAGAGTTTTGAAAGAATTGATCTCAGACTTTCTGATCATTGATCGGATCATGGATGGTCAACACTTGATGTTGTAACTAGTCATGCTGTTTGGGTTTCTGATGTGATTTGCTATGCATGTTTCATCCTCATTCTGACGCGGAGCCTCTTTGGCTGCCTGTCTGAGTCTTGCGGCGAAATGTACACAACATCAAAATTCCTAGAATGCTGCAAGTGTTTCAGAGGCTGCCTGGGATTGTTGACCGGGATTCATCACTTTAATGCGAAACAGATGAATTTCCCTTTGATTTTCATCTCATCTTATCCGGAAACCATGGATGATGAGCCACGGCGCTTCTTTGGTCCAAGTGGCGACCTCAGAGTACCCTTCGAGACGTCTGATACCAGTGGCCTTGGAGTGAATAGAAACTGTCAGCGCCATGTGAATTTGATCTTCCATTACATCCATTATATCAAAATTATATCAGTCATCTAAGAAAATCTGAGTCTAAGTAGCCTGCTAAGCCAACTTCCTTTGATTTTCACGACATTTTCATGATGTCAGGTAGAGATGTGGCAGCCCCAACGGATGGCCCTGCACCTCCACGACTCGGGGACCGACCCCCATCGTTTTTTCCAAAAGTTTGGGGATCCAAAGTTATGGTAGTAGAAAAATTGTATAGTTGTCTATAGAAAATTGGTAGATGAACGAAAATAGGTGATCCTGTGATCCTTCAGTTTCTGAGAAAACCTGAGCCCAACAAAAAAAGAACAGGGTCTTGGTATGCGTTGGTCGGCCAAACCCATCCAACCCATCTATCACATTTGGCGAACAGCGGCAGGATCCATTGTCGCCCACAGATGCAGAAGCACTGATGGCGGTGGTCCTATCCTCAGCACATCATGATATCAATTCACCAAGGATCCAGACGTTTGAAGCGGCAAGTGAGTTTTGGCTGGTTTTGGCGAGTTCTGGATTTCTGCCGGTTTCAAATCTCGAATTTCCGGGAAAATCATTCCAGATCCAAGATATTTGTGGCATATTTGGCATTCGTTGCCAAAACATCTGCAGGTGGGGCCTCCAGAACTCCCTGAAGCCTGGAAACAAGGCTTTTTCTTTGCCACTTGGCTGGACCTGGAGCGGTTGGTTTTCCACGGGTTTTCGCCGCTGTTTTTCAAAGATCCAGAATGATCAAACTCAAAATCAAGTGTTTTGAAGGGTTCCACATCCCCAATCTCCACTTTGTTGAAGCCAAACTCCCACCAAAAAACATCCAAACATCATCAACATGCATCAAAAAACCATCCAACAACTATTCCAAAAACCAAAAACGATCACACCTGCATATGTCCGGCATATTTTCCAGCCATTTTCTGAGGCCGGCTACCAGCCCTACGGCTTACAGCAGGTGAATGGCGGTCCCTGTGGCGTGCTGGCGGTGATCCAGGCCTTTGTGATCCGAGCCTTGCATATCCGAGCGCCCAGTCCGGGGGCACTGCTGGAGGCGGGGGTGATGGGCATGGGGGAGGATGAATATATATATATATATATATATTATTATATATATACGATACATGATGTATATACTATATGATGATAATCCATCAATTGTGATGTTATCAGATTTTATCCATGAACAATATTATATTATTATTGTTATGATTATATTGATAGGGTATTCATCATTCTAACCTTTATGTTTGCTTATTTCATGATTCCTTTCTAGTGCGTGTTATTTTTAGTCTATTATCATGATGAGGATGAGGATTTGTACATCATGAAACATCACTGTCAACATCGAAGCCAATTCTTCCTGTGACGATTGAAAGCTCAACATGACCTTGCCATCGGCGTGGAAGGTTAATCTAAAAGTTTCTTCAGACCAGACGGAAATCGTTGTCAACTCGGTTTCTCCCAAAAAAAAAGTATATCCCGAGGTTGCCATTCTAATTCGGAGAAACTCTTGGAAATCCTATGGAATCCTATGGTTTTTTAATAGTTTCCTATGGATTCCTATGGAATCATATGCCTGGAGTATCTCCCATTGATAGCTCCACCGCTCCAAGAGGTCGATGAACATCTTCGACAAGAAGCCTTGCTGGATGCCCTGGCCGAAGTGCTCTTCCGGAATGTGGGAGACAACAAGAAGGCGCCGAAAAGAATCTGATGAACACCATGGTGGTTTTCTATCGAAATATGATGAAATAATATGAAATATATACATAAATTAGAGAGTTGACTCAAATTCACTGACATTTGCTAATATAGTGTACGATAGTTTACTTTTAGTTTACTTGTCGTTTTTTTTTCGCCGTTAGTCGATACTGAAAAATGCTGCTGATGTTACCAGGCCATTGTCCTGCTCCCCAGTTCGTCCACGGCATGTGTTTTAAGCGGGTCTGACACTCAGCCGCTAGGTGAGGGAAGACCACTCCATCAGTCTTGGTTTAATCATGGTTTATCATAGGGTAGTGATGGTTTATCAAAGGAAGTTTTTAGTTTTATGAGCCAATCGTGGTTGCATCAATTCTATGTCAATTTGAAGCTTCCATCATCGTTTTATCATCTGTTTTTTTTGAGTTTCAACTTAACATATATTAACTTTGGAAAGGGAATCTTCATTTATCAATCAAAATCTGGCATCAATTGGAGGTATTACAATAAATATATGTTTAAGCATATATTATCCCCAATCTTTAATGATGTTTTTATCCCCCACTTTGGACACAAAATCAGCCCAGGTCACAACTGCGATGTTTGCAGCCTGCTTTGTTCACCTCCTATGACCAGCTGAGACATCACCTGGGTCAAAGGTGGGAGCAGAAAATCTACTCGATCTGCGTTCTGTGCTGCACATATCAAATGTCAAAGGGGTCAAACGGGGTCAACATTGAAATTCCTGAACGAACGACGATAACATGGGTCTATCATAGATTGAAGATCTTTTTGAATTTATGGATCATTATGGATAAATCAATCATCAATCATAGATAATTAATCATCAATCATAGATAATTATGGGACTGGAAGACTCAGGACCTTGGACGAAATTGACCGACCTTGGACCCTGCCAGGCCTTATAGAGACATCTTCTTAAATCCCTCGGGCTGTGGAGTTCCGCTGTACCTTTTCTCCATGGTTTGGACGCGGGGCATCGAAGGGTGCCGAGAACGAGACTTTGATGATCCCAAGAGTGGGGCGATGATTGGTGGCCATGGATACTGTACCCAGGCGGGTATCCAGGGGTATCCAGATATGTTGAGATGTACCTTTCAAACTGTGAAATCCATTTGTCGTTCAGATTTATAGAATTTATACACATATATATATATTATTATAGTTATTATATGTAGTTTTAAATATTTTGTAATTGAAATCATGATGCAAAGAAACCATCCGAGCTGTTGTTTCTTTTGGGTCAACAATATTTGGATGCTTCGGGGAGGATGGTTGAAGCGGAGTAGTCCCCAAGCCGGTAGGAACTGGTGAACCTCATGATGTTCGGCCGAGCCTACAGCAATGTCTTCGATGGCACAAAGCGTTTGGGAAGCGCCAAGGACAGCTGCTGAAGCGCTGCTGGTTGAGTTGATGCTTATTTGGGGTTTACTGAGATACTACCATTGGGGATTTGGGGATTATCATATCATCCATGATTGGACCACAGCATCTTGCGTCTCCCATAGGACGGTTGGATGGTGTTGCAAGGGGCACCGTGCTGGTCTCGGATGGAGAATCCAGTGAATCATTGAAGAAAACATTGGAAAATGGTGGAAAACAGTGGAAAATGGTGGAAAACAGTGGAAAATGGTGGAAAACAGTGGAAAATGGTGGAAAACAGTGGAAAATGGTGGAAAATGATGGAAAAAGGGGGAAAATGATGGAAAAAGGGGGAAAATGATGGAAAAAGGATGGAAAAGTAATGGAAAAAGGGGGGAAATCGTCATCAGCTCTGGATTCAAATCCCAAGGCGTCGGCCGAACATTGGATTTCTTTCCCTCTTCGAAGCCTATCAATGCATTGAGGCAAGCTGTTTTGGTCGAAGTTTCTGAAACTGTAACACTTTACTACCATTTTGTCAATTTTTGGACATGATTGGAACTAATATTGCAAGTGTCTCAACCTTTTGAGACTTTCACAACTTCATGGTGTTCGAAGAATTTGTGTTTCAAGTGCCAAGCTGTGCGGTTTGGTACCAGGTGGGCTCGCGCTACAAAGGACCAACGTGTCCAATTTGGGTCGTTTGTGCAGAGGCCCAAAGCAACGCTGTTGAACGTCTTTTCCCGCCAAAAAACAGAATATGTTGTTGCAAATTGAATCAGAATCAAATTTGCCTGGTTTGTTCCATCATTTTGGTCTATTCAGCCCCTTTTGAAGAACTTTCCGTAGCGATTTTGGACCATTTTTGGGTAGCTTGGCGACTCCCATTACCTCAACTCCAGGGGCATCACCGGCAGCTGCCAGTCTCACTACACCGTTCTCTTTTCCGCCGACGCTGCGGTGAATCCGCAGGAGTCAGACAAGGTGTGGATTGAAACACTTGAGGCATTGATGCCTATGAATTGATACATAAATCATAAATGAATCAGAAAGAATCAGAAAGAATCAGAACAGACATGAAGCTGTATTGTACCAGTACTAGTGTATGTATGTGTATTGTATGATAGTGTATGCATACCTATATAGATCTTCTGTGAATAGCACACTGCATGTTGGAGTGTGGCCTTGAAACAACAAAACCTTCGATCTTGCCGAGATTTCCTCATCGAAAAGCAGGTTGAGCACTTTTTTCTGCTCGCCGGAAGATCCAATATATAAAAAACATCTAAGATATAGGTGTAGAGATATTTCAATATATATATATATATTATACATATATATATATATATGTCATGAATCTACATATGGATAATACATCTTAGATCATCTTGGGCTGAGGGGAAGTCTCTCATTCTTTCTCGACGTTCCGACGTTCCGCTGGGAGGCTTTGAATTTGTTCTACTTCGACCAGTTGGCTCGACAATCCGAACGCATTCGCCTGACGGTCCGGACTCACAGCTCGACCTGGTCGACCTGGTCGACCCTGAAACCAGTGGCAATGACAACCCAAGGGTTGATTGCTGAGAGGTAGGTAAGGTGAGTATTGTGAGATATTGTGAGTATTATAGATAAATATGTCATCATAAATAAATACATACATACATAAATAAATAGGTCATCATCAATTGGCAGCTCTTGCAGTTCAGCAAAGTGGAATAATCGGACTGAAACAGTGGGTTTCCCTTATTCACTCCGTGCTGGAAGCTGGAAAAGTGGCAACATGTGGCAACGTGCCGTGCAACGACCAGCCCAAAACAAGGTTGCAGATGTCAGGTTGGTGAATTTCATCATTGACAAGTCACGTTTTCATCAGATGTCATCCCAGATTCGATATCCCGACTCTATAGATCATCAGATCATCAGATATCCCATCAAGAATCCAGAGAAATCAGCATTTTTCATGGCAAATCATTCCAGCTTGGCATGGAAGGTGTCGGTGTTTTAAAAACACGCAGCTGTTGGATATTTGTTGGACCCTGGAGGTGATGCCCAAACAGCTGCCACCGCATCTCAGTACCGGTTTCGAGGACAAAACGGATCGGTGGTGGGATGGTGGTGGGATGACCATACAGGGTACCACATATAGTAACATAGATGTAACATAGTAAGTACCGAGTCATGGGCACATTGTTCCCAATGGCTCATGATAATTGTCCATACGGCTTGAATGGTTTGTTATCATGGCTCCATATAGCTATCCTGGAAGATCTAGGTCTGTGGAGACACAGAAACAGCAAATGTTCCATGATCTTTCAGAAGCAATAGAAACCAATGGAAAACCTTTGTGCCACTTTGTCTCGATATGGTATTGAATAGTCCGGTATTGTCCCACCTGCTGCATTCACAGATTTTTCAGACAACCTCGAAGCTATTTCCCATGGTGGAGATGATTTGGGCAACTGCCCAGCATAGCCCCTTGGGAGTTGCTGCTCACTCCCGAAGCAGCCAGATATTATGAACACTTCACTCCAGTAATCCAAAATGTCCTGATATCATCTGATATTTTCGGTGACCCAAAGGTGTACCTGGTTTTTACACAAAAATTCAGAGCACCAGGACAGCGAGTCCATGATCGATCGGTGCATCCGAACCAAGTGGAAGGCTCTCTGGATCTCTGGATCCCGCAGATCCCCGATTCCGGGAGACGACGAAATGACGAAATGAAGCTCTGGTTGGGTAAAAAGATCAGAGGATTTGAAACTGACCAGAGATGAATGGATGGCACTCTATACCGAAGACTATCCCAAGAGTCATTCGAATGCAAACCTTGAAGCGGAGATGGACAAACACGATCATGTAGATGGCCATGATAGGAATCTACAGGGAAGGATCCCCAAATGTTGCTACATCCTATCTATTCAAAAGTGTATGATAGTATGGTAGCACAAAAGTTGCATGCACCCAAAATCTATCAACATCTGGTTTTTCTCATGGTTTACCATCACTTTCCCATCACTTTCCCATCACTTTCCCATCACTTTCCCATTGGCATTTTGGAGGAAGCCTCGGTGGATTGGAATGGCAGTGAAGTGATTCTGTGATTCACGGAGCGCTGAGGAAAAGGGGCAGTTTTGGGGAAGACGAGGCAGTTCTTATTACATCACTTAGTGACTTAGTATCATTTTGGAAGGTTGATGAAAGTTGATAGCTTCCAGCAGTTTACTTTCCAGTGAGAATGTTTAGGAGATATGTTGGTAGATATGTAGAGGATAGCTAATAGCTGGATCGTTCATGGATATTTTGTGGTGACAACTTGTGACAACTTTCATGGCATTTGTGACATCTTGGCCACACAGTCAATTTCCAGGCGTTGCAGTCCTGAAACCATAGCAAGGTAGCCAGCATTACATCGCCGATGGTTCAAGGCATCTGGGGAGTGAACCGGAAAAGCGGCAGCAAGAAGTGTTGCAGTAAATTGTTGGAAAAATGTTGAAAAACATCCTGGGCATTATGCAAAAATTATGAGTTTCCCAGCTGTTCGAATCACTGTGGTTTCCTGGTGATCTGTAGCTTGCTGGATTCTGGTCACGTGGTCACGTCCGAGCTCATGGGGGGTCTTCTGAGCAAAATGCGACCGTCGTGGGAAGCTTGGTTTCAGTGGTTTTTGGCTCCAAGTTGTGATCCTTGCAGACCTGTTTGTTCAAAGTGATATGCAAAAAGTATCAAAAAGTGAACTGCAAAAAGTGAACTAAAAGTCTTCACTGAAAGGCTTCAACTTGATGATTTTGAGCCCAAGTCAATGAATTCAGATGAATTCAGAACCAGTTGTCATCAGGGCAGTTTGTGTTTTTTTAAAGGTGATCACAACAATCTGCCGAGGCTTTTAAAGCAGAAAAGCCCCAACCTGACCTGTCAGTGTTGGCCGTGGTGTACCTCCAGACGTTGCTCGGCAATGAATACTGAGTAGCATCATCATAGCATCATCACAATACTCACTTAATACCATTAGTAATGATTAGCAATAATGGTATTGTACTATATAATGGTATTTATTGTGTACTAGTGGTATTCTTATTGTCATATTGGTAAAGCCAATCAATCCATCAATGGTATTGTGAGTATTGTGTGGTACCATGATTGATTTACTCGTAGCATTAATACCATTAATGCCATTAGTACCATTGGTAAGCTAAGTTTTTAGCCACTGGCTAATATTATTTAAATGATCAATGGGAGGTACCATTCAATGATTAGTGGGAGGGGCACCTTTTTTGATACACCAGGCTTCATGCATTCAGGGGTTGATCTGAAAGTTGTAAGTTTGAAAGATGTGGGATGTATGATGCGCTACATTGAATTTGTGTCACAAGGCTATAAGAATCAGAATCCATGTAACGTGTAGAATTGTATGCAGACATCCTGCATTTGGACGAAGATTGGTTGGATGTCCGGAGGAAAATCCATTGATCCTTGCTGCGTTCCTGAGATTTTTATCAGCGCCAGGCAGAAATCAAACTTGGGTGCACAACAGAGGCCAACTGGACAGAGATGTTCAGCATGGTTCGTTCACCTACAATTCGCACCCAAAAAAGTTTCCCTTCCAGGTTGAACATTTATTTTTTTTTTGAGGTTCATCTCAATCCTGATTCCAAAAACACGCTGTCCTGAGAGAATTTACGGTTTTTTTTTCTGCCAGGTTTTGGTGCATCTTCAACTGCAATCAGGCCAGATGAAGCAAACATGTGGGGTGATTTTTTTGGGACTGATGTGCGCCCATGTTTTTCCTCGAAGATGGAAACACGTGGAAAATGTTCAGAATATGCAGAATAGGAGGCGTTTGTTATCCAAAGTCTGCCTTAATGCTTGTTGACTTTCCATGTCAAGCATGTGAAGCTTGAACTTGGCAGGCGTTCGGGATCAGGCGCGCTGGTGCACACTGCTGTTTATATACTTCTTGTTTCTATCAATTGGTTTCCTTACCATGGCAATATGTAAAATTGTATGTGTTTGTGACCTGTCTGTGTGTGTGAATCTTTCATCAAGTCATGTCATTGTGATGATTTTGACATCTTTTGACCTCAAAAATCTTGGGGCCCAGGTGAATCCAGAGCTTGGAACTCAGCTGTGCTGCCAATCGTGACAGATAGCCATGTCACTGGAGCCATGGAACTCAGCTGTGCTGTGGAGGCCACGGATGCTGAGGTCCTGTACACCTCATCCGCGCCACAGTGACTGGGCTCCGAAGTTGGAAAGTTGGCATCCAGGTAACAGAAACTGGAGATATCTCAGGCTCCCCATATGGAACATGACGTGATAGGGATAGTTGCAGATCGACGTGATGGTTGTCTCTAAAATTTAAAAAGCCCGGGCAGACAAGTTGGACTTCATGTGGAATGGTGACTTCCAAGAGTTGTGTACATCCCAAAAGTGACACTGTTTGCAAGCTGACATATACTTTTTTCGGAATGTTTGAAGAATCCAAGAATCCATGAAAGTCCTTCGACATGTATCATGTTGAGGAAATTCCACTGGTTGATTCTAGCTATTTCTAGCTTCTGCCCAGGTGGCAGGAGCACAGACTACCCTGCGGCCTGATGCCTTCACAGGTGGGCCATGATGAAACGGTTTGAGGTTCGATACTTTCCTGATGCTCCATTTTTAAGCACTGAAACCACTTGACTAATCTGAATAGGTGTCATGATATGTCATGATGATTGACTTGTTGGTCCATCGTGATTTATCATTATTCACCCGATCTGAATGCGTTTGAAACAACTAACCAGCCATCAAAAGGTAGAGATACTAGAAAGGAATAATATAGACAGAGTTGGGAGGCAAAAAGGCGGAAAGGACCGAAAACACCACTCCCCACCAGAAGTGACACATAGTGACACCACAAAGATGACATGAGCATTCATTTGGGTTCTGAACCATGGGTTCAAATTCCACACCTTTCCAGATGTAGAGGTTTCGGAACTTCTTGACCGCGACATCACGCCGGATGACTATGAGATGTGCCAGCACTCAATGTCCAAAGCTTCCAACTGCACTTGCGAAAGGTGGTTTTTCTTCCTACCAATCCCACCTAAACTCCCACTGCTGGTGGTTTTAAGCCTTCCATATATCATTCTTCACTTTCCAAGTGAGACTTGAAACCGGTTTGACGATGACCGTCATCATCATCCCATTTCCACTGGTTTCGTTTCGAAAAAATGGAGGACGGTCACAACTCTGAGGCTGTTGCAGCTGGATGATGCGCTCTCACGGCCCACGGCAGACAAACAGAGCCTCTCAGAGAAAGGGATCGATGTCACCCTGGACTTAGGACTGGTTGATGTCAAGATTCTTAAACTAGTTTTAGCTATTGAATTTTGGACCTGTAATGGAGATGTTTATATTTGCCTTCATTATAAGACCATGGTTAATTCAATTAGTTCATTCATTTTGCAGGTTGTCGGTGATTTGGACCCTGGCAGCATTTCCGTTTCTGTCAAAATCGTGAGCAGATGCTGAGGCTTGGAGAAGAGTTTGCAGTCGGTGCGTGCGAAGGACAGAACTGCCTAGCTGTTTGCGAAATTAGTTAAGGCCATCAAATATTGGGGAAAACAGCTTTAATTCCATGGATACCCATGGATTAAGCAATGTGAGACACTTTCAGACAATTGGATTTTGGGGGAGCCCTCGTGGTGGATGGTACAGTGGGAGAGTTGCTGCGGCACTGCAAGGCGTCAGTTGGCATCAGATTTTCTGCCTTTTGTTTTCTTCGAAATCGATTTAAATCCAGCAAGATGTTGTGGTTTCACAGAGCAAGAAATGGGTGGATTCCATTTGGATTCCAAAGTTGGTCAGTTGATTTGGAGAAAATCCCAAAGTTGGTCAGCCACGTCAGCTTCAGAATCAAGTCGTCCCACGTTGTGTAACCGCGGGACGGCAGACCATCCCAAGCGATGCCAAGGAGGTCTTGGACCAGATGTGCTCTGTGTGCCTCCATCCCTTTGAAAGGCACCGAAACTGGGAGATGTTTGGAGATGTTGGAAGGGTTGCAGGATGCTGTAGGGAACAGCCAACCAGAAATATAGCAGACATGTTAGAGATTTGGAGTAGATGCAAGGCGAGAGATCACCATCTACATTCCTTGCTAAGGGGTTGCCTGCATATCATTTGCAATATCTTTTCTATCCCACCAGTTTGATAGGGAAGATTTGCACGTGCGCTTAAGGCGTTAGTGTGAAATGACATCGGTGTAGTTTTAATGCAAGAATATGGTTCACAATTCAGCTGACAAGGGACAGAAAAGCGGATGTGATCTTTGAGACCGTTCTCTATGGCAGGAACGACGCAGTATCCGCTTTGCCTTGTTCGCATATCTTCCACGAGGACCGCCGTGCTGCTTCAATGGTCGTTCTTCGGGCTACCTGCAAGTTGCTGTGACATTCTGGTTGAGGACTGTATCTCCAGATGGTTGCTGGAAAGATGCACATCATGTCCTCTTTGTAATGACTGCATAAAGATGTTGGACCCTCAGATGTGGTGCAGGCGTAGATGTCATATTTCCGTTCCCTCAACTGATTGCCCTGCAAAATCCGAGCAACACCATCCGATTTCATTGACATTGGCGACGGTATGCTCCCGCGCAGCCAAGCCTTTGAGGTCTTGAGAGGGGGATACATGAGCCAAGGGCTCAGTCGATGTCATCCGCAGACATGGCTAGTAGAAGTTTGCCATCAAAGACAGATTCAGCAAGTGATATACACAAGTGTCACTATCGCCAGGGAGAGGGTTTCGACTGGGAACCTCCCAGTGACACGTCACCTGGTTGAGATATGTTGAGATCACTGCTTTCTGCCAGGAAGACCATGAGAGTTTTCAGACGGTCCTCTCACCCAGCTCTGCAAATGCAACGGGCTGCCAGATTTTAAGATTTGAACAAAGATGGTTGAACACAACATTCCAAACTTTGCTGAACAAACTTCAAAAGACAGCTCTATCAGGGCTGTGCATAAGATTCAGTACTTGCACATGGCAACATGTTCAAGTTGCTCATTGATCTAGTTGGCTCCGTTGATCCTGGTGTCCGTAGAGTCAGTCGGAGCTGAAATTCGACAGTGTGCATGGTGGGACCAATCAGCCTCAGCCTCAGTGACTTCTCATGTGATTTTGTGTTGTCCAAATCCCAGCTGAAAACATCACAGAAGTTTTTGGAAATCCTTGAAGTCGTATATTTGTTTTATGTTATCATGTCTATATCATACATTGATGTGCCATGATGTGCCATGATGTGCCATGATGTGCCATGATGTGCCATGATGTGCCATGATGTGCCATGGTGCACCTTTCGTCTACTTGCTGAGGCCCCACGATTTGGCGGGAGGCCATTTTTCAACATTTTGTACATATGCAACGGCTCGCAGGTGAGCTGAAATGCAACTACTGGGAGGGCGTCAGCATCTTTCGATGTTTGCAAAGCTAAGAATCAAAAGCTAAAGGGATGCAAGATGCAGAATACCACCCCAGCTCATCCTGAAGAACGCGGAAAGAATCGAAAAACTTTTTGGCCAAAGTAATACCGAATACGAAAGGCTCAAAAAACCAATTGGCCAAGTAAACCAGCTTGAACCCTTCTTTGAGGATGGACCTGATCCTCGCACCAATCTTGGAAAGCCTATGATACACTCGCAGTGGTACCACCTGGACTCGTTGTAGCTCGTTGCACTTAAGATCACATGAAGGATCCGTGCGTTCCCACAGAAAAATGGGGTCGTGTCCACTGCGGCCACTGCTTGAGGTTTAGGCTCCTGGAACGTTTCCTCAAGAAAGCTTCAGAAAATTGTCGGTTTATTGGTTCTTCAGATCCTGAAGTTCCATCAAGACAGCAGGAGTGGAGGACGTAGACATGCAGCTGTGCTCCATGTTCCAATCGTTGAACCTTTTTTTTGCATGAACATATTGTTGCTGAAATCCAACCAAGAATCCAGCAATAATCAGTCATAAATCATTTCGCACAATAAAAAACTGACACGACGCCATTTGCATTCAATTGTTCCTTCCGCAGTCTCTCAAAAGCTGGAAGAACTTCCATATTTGCGCAAACTTGCCCAATTCACCACATGTATGAGAGAATGGTGTCAAACCCAAAAGCAAGGCACAAATTCACTGGGACCCTTCTGAGATGAAAGTTCGTTTTTTCATACTTCAGAGATTGCCATCAGCTGGATGTTGTCATTTGACCTGACTGGATCCAGTGGATCCATCCGTTTCTGTCCTGGATGGCCCGGCATGGTGGACCAAGATGGTGCCAAAGGCACCGCACCTGCAGGAAGCTGAGGTTAGCAAACTGCAATTTCTAAGGTGCTTTTCAGACGGGAGGTGCCAGTAAAATTTAATTTCGAAATCGTGGCTTAGAGACAGAAAACTTCTTTTTGCTCCTGTTGTCATATTGTTGCTGTTGCTCCGTTGCATCTTGTTGTGGCAGAGCAGGAGGCACTCGCAGTTATCTCGGTATCTCCCAAAAATTTTTCGAAACCCTGGCAGGTTTTCCACCGGAGGCTGTGGATATGCGCGCTCGCGTTTTCCTGACGTGTGCCATGGAACTGCTGGACTGGAAATGGAGCACGGAGGGCCTGTGCCAAAGTTGATGTCGCACTTTGACGGGTTGACTTTGACTGGTATCAGAAAGAACGACATCCTGGATACAAAGGACGGAAACCTACATCAGCTGCCTGCAGTCTATTGTTTTGCATAAAGGTGTGTGCACTTCATGTCACCCACTCTAGTTTCATGCCAACATACGCCTGAGGGAGAGAAGGTTTCTAAATTCAACCTACAGAGCATGAAGGTTCCAAGGCGTGGCTGCCACTAATTGCTAGGAATTGCCATTTTGATGTTTCCATATCAGCAAAGCCGTTTTGGATCTATTGGAATCTGATGAATCTGTTGGGGACCGTGGCTTTGTGGATGTTGAAGTCATCAAGCAAAAGATCTGGCCCAGTGCCTTCAGGGGCTCTCCATGGCCGCCAGTCATTTTGTGATTTATTGTTTTCTCTTGAAGGAAAGTGCCGACAGCTTTGATTGGTCGGAGTTTGATCTTGGAAGTGCCAAATCTAAAGGACATGTTGCTTTCACTTCACGAAAATTTAGCCTGACATCTCTGTTTCATTCTGTTTCCGGGTTTCATCCAACAGAAAAATACAAATGCAGGAATGATCTTGGCTTGCTGCTTGCAGGCGTCTATGTGACTGCCCATGGTGGCTGGAGGTTCGATGAAAAGCTCATCATGTCTACCCGTTTACCCCTCTTTGGGAATATTTTGGTGTGGTCCCCACAATGACTGTGATTTCATGTGATATCCGATCCATGTTCAAGGCCAACAGATTGTCCTCTGACTCATCTCCTTGTTGCTCCTGGACCTCAGGCTGGATGAGGGCTGCAACTGGGGATTATGCGGTGGTAGATGTCGCTGCCTTTGAACTAGACACCAGATTTCATGTGTGAGACGTCCTTACTGCTGCTGGCTGTACTCAAATACATCGCGTCAGTCAATGGCTAGAGAGGCCCCACTTTTTGCAGTTCAAGTAGATTTTGTGGTTGCAACTTTCACTTCAACAAGTACTTCGCTTTGCACTTCTACTATTTGACGTCCCTTTGCTTGCTCCATTAGTTTTTTCTGTGAGATCAGCTATCTTGGCTCTGTGACTTTTCCGCTCGTTCTTTGAAGCAGTAGAAGATCTGAGGCGGGAAGGGAGAAGGTTTGGAGCAAAATCTGTGTGCAACAGCTAAGATAGGTGGAATGTCAGCGGATTGTCAATTGATGTCAGCCATCAGCCTGGATTTTGGTCAACCCATAGCGATCACAGTTCATCTTGGCCCTCAGGCGCGGAAGAATGGCTGACTACCTGGCCTTGATGGTTAATGAGCAGGAGCAGCCCCTTGGCTACAGACCCAAAATTTAGCACGGGCCAAAGCGGCCAAAGGTCTCAGAAAAGGCCATCAAAGTTGAATCAAAGTTGTCAAATCCATCAATTTAATGAATCGCTGTGCCCCGAAATCCGTACACGTCGATGATGCCAGGGTCATGTTTTGCTTGGTAAACTTCAGAACTTCAGAGTCCAGCAGTGCAGCTCTATGCTGCCCGCTCCGCAGATGCGCCTCGCAGTGACTCCCTCAGGCCGTCCGCAACATGCGAAATCGTGGCAACGCTCGGACGGGTCGAAGAGCTGCCATTGGATGAATCTCAGCTCAACAGCCCTTTCGAACAAATTCATGAGTTATGAATCTGTATTCGTTTCTCAAGAATCACTTTCAGATAAAGCTACACCCGAATTCCAAAGTTACCCTGTGACAGATGGTACGGATCCGTGCTCCTGAAGCCATGCGCCAGGGTTATGGCACAGTGGATTGGCAGCGGATTGACATCGCCAAAGTGGGCTTCGGAATGCTGAAAGTTCTTGAGATGCGACACCCGGAGCACAGCTCCAAGGTGATCCAGCTGCATCCGCCCGGGGAACACGACTTGGAGGTCAGATTATCTTTGGAACCAGGTGAAGAAGTTGTCGGCTTTCAAGTTAAGGAGGCCAGGAAAGTGAAAAAGTGGTGGCTTGTCTTTGCCTAACAAGATTTTGAAGATTTTTGAAGATGCTTTGAGTTGTCAGAAACTTGGGAGGTGAAAGATGGCGGAGCAAGCGAATTTTACGATCCGCAAGTGCTGATCCGTGACGCGACAGCCGTGCGGATGGAGCCTTTAAGTCAGCAATTCTTCAAGCCAAGTCCGGAGTTCCCGGGTAAACTGCGCTGGCTGCCTGCCACAGCACAGCCTGATCCTGAGGGCAAAGTGCAAGGAAGTGAGGTGCGGAGTCGAAAGAAGGATCGAAGGTTGGAAGGATTTACAAACAGCAAAAACACAACTTTTTGAAGACTCCCTCACTTTAGGCTTATGCCAACTTATGCCAGGTCGAATCTTCTCACTACCCAACAGAGTGCCAGGTTGCCAGATTTCACTTATGAGGGGACCACCTAATATGTATCCAAACGAAGCCTGGCACTGAAGTGGTGTGCCTTGACTTGCAGGTTGTTGGCTTCCGCGCCATCCAAGGGGTCCAGCGTGACCACATCCTCGGCGTCGTTCACAAGGTCTCCTTCTGGTCCTTTGATGCGCGGAGCTGGACAGGACAGTCAGTGATGTTTTGGATCGACATCTTCCTCCTCGTCCTGGCCATGGCCTTAATTGCGAAATCACCAAGGCTCCAACAATCTCCAACACATGGGTACCACTCATGTTTACATATCTTTACATATGTTGATCATGTTTCCCATCATCAGGGTTGGTTTTGCCATGCTTCGAAAGAGTGCAGCTGGTTGGAGCTGCCACGCTCCGTTCGGACAACTGGGCCTGTGCAATGACAACATCACCCAATCACTTTGGAATTATTGGCCTCTCAAAACTCTAGCAGGCTCTTCTAGTTGTTGACAAAATCGAGTGTTGAATACCATGTCTCATCACTTCTCCTGATGCGTCAACTCCAGCTCCGGATCGCTGTGCTTGCACGGGTTTGATTCCCCTTCCTGTTTCTGGAATTTCTGGATGTGTTATCTTCTTTTTTGATCTTTCGTGTATGTTTGCTGCTTAAGGCATGCTTTGTTCCCGTCTCCGCCTTTGCATCCTGGTTGAAACATGTTGAGACTTCTTTTGGCTTCTTCGGCCATTGCCCAGTCTTCAAGTTCTTCTTCCACCCACCCTTGTTCACGATCTGTTTTCTCAACAACATCCAAAGGGCGGTTGTACGTACAATTTCAGTGGAGTAATTGCTAATCATCAAATTCCTGAACGCCAATGAGCCTAGTGACGTGTACAATGTTTGCCTTCTTACTTCGCCTTGCAATCCTCATTCCCTCCTCTCACCATGTTCAATTTGAAGGGGCGCTTTTATTCCATGTTTATTTCGGTACTCTTGGTTTCAGAACTTGAATGTTCCTTATTTGCAACAGTGCGGCCGCGAAACACCACCAGTTGTTAAAAGTCTTCTGAGGACTTAGGGGGTGGGTATTTCGCTGCAAAACAGCGTGGTTTAGTCTTTGAGATTCAATCCGGCCATCAAATTTTAGGCTTGAGCGCGCGGGTCCACGGAACGCAGCCAAACTCGTTCAGGTCCTGTACTATGCGGACATTTTGCTGGACCTGAAGCAGCTAAAAGTCTTTGCAGACCAGCGGCTTTACGATTACCTCAGGTTTAATGCCCTGGGGCTGCTGATCCCACCAGTGCTCACGGTGTGGGAAGCATGTCACTGGCTGCAGCAGCCATCCCCCGAGAGGGACCACTTCGATCACCTCGTTGCCTCCAAGCTGATGCAAAAGATCATCATCGTCTTGGCAGTGGCAACCCAGACACACGTGATTTTGCTGGTGATGTGGTCCGTTCGCTTCAAACAGAAACTTGGCATCACGTCTTGGCATCACTTGGCTGCGTGACTCGTGGGTTTTTTGTACTTTCCCAAGTTCAATGTTTTGGTGTTGTGCTTTGCCAAGCACCCTCTGTCAGGAAGCACCCCCTCTTGCAGGGAGCCAAGAATGCCGAGGCTGGTGAGGTATTCCCAATCTTTAAAATGGTAGAGAATTGGTAAACGTTCAGTTGCGTGACCTGTTCTGTGAACCTGATCAGTCTGGAATCTTTTTGTGTTCAAGACGATATTACAGTTACAGATCATGAAAGGCCTGGATGCTTCAGAAGAAAAATCCGCACTCGTATTTGTTTTTCCGGAAACAGTTTTAAGTGTTCCCAAAGGTGGCGGAGTCGGCGATCTCAGCATTGGTTCAAATTAACTTTTTGGTGTCCCACTTTGCCGGCGTCACGGCCATCACCAACCGAAACCTGGATAGTGCAACCCTGCAGACCATGGCCGTCTCCATCCTTGTCTCCTGCTGCAGCACAGGGCTGAGCTTTGCAGGGAAGGACAAGAAAGATGGCTCGGTCTTGGGTCTGCCGGGCAAGGTGGACTGGTCTCCGACCATGGTGTCCTTGGTGCTGGTGAGAGCCATGGAAACTGCAAGCCGAATGGTGGCCTTCAACATCGTCCAAGTCTCCCTGAGGGGTGGATGGTGTGGACACCTTGGGGGTCCCATGGCCGTGCTGTTCTTCGTGGCAGCTGCCGGGCTCTGCTTCCCAGAGGCAGAAATTTCGGATGTCCTTGTGCCTTGGATCCTGGTGTCTGAATTTCATTTGGCCCATTGGACCTTTGTTGGGTCAACAACAGTAAAACATTTGAGAAATCATGGAGAAATTTGAGTGGTATCACGAGACGGCCGAAAAATTCTTGAATTTGGGCTTCGGCGAGCTAAGGCATCCGTGGTAGCACACCCAGGACAAATCCTTGAGCCTCAATCGCTGCTGCCGCTCTGGTCAGTTCCTCAGGAAGCTGAAACATGTTGAAACATGTTGAAACTATCCCGCAGATGTCCGACCGACCCAGCTCTTCAAACTGAAGGAGGACTTGGGAAGGCAAATCCAGACACTTGCATTGGGGTTGAGCCTCTTATGGATTTTCTATTCGACATTTTTCCTACGATTCAATGATTTGCCTTTAGAGCGGCAACGCGATAATGGCTAGCCGAAAAAGAATGAACACCGATGCAAGAAGCAGTCTCCACTGCAAGACTTTTGCCATACAGCTGTGCCGGGACTCCGTGACTCATGCTGAGTGATTTTCTTCTTCTTCCACATGATCAACATCCGATCGTGGATATCCAAGGGGAAATTTATGAATACACTTCAACACAACATTTTAATTCATGTTATTTGTTAAACGATCCAGACAATTGAACCTCCCAGGCGCTCTTTGGTGCTTCATGCCTTGCTGATCTTGGTGGCACTCCTGCCGCAAGTGCTGCTGCGCACCGAGTACAAAGCTTGGATGCCCAAGGATGCGAAGGCCCAGCTGGGCCATTGAGCAACTGCAGAACTTGAGTCCCAGCAGGTCGCGCTTTTGCCCCTGAAATTCTTTCTCAGAGACTCGCCAGGAAATTCCCGCCATCTACCTGTTGGGATGGTTGGCAGTCACTGCATGCAGCTTCCTGGGCTTGATGATCCTTTATCTTCTTGGCCGTCGCTTGAAGCAGCCGATCTTTGAGCAACTGCGCTGGGGGCCTTAGATCCTTAGATCCAAGGGGCGCTTCCGTGCTGAATCCCCTGTTCGATCGTGGTAACAATGTAGATCATGTCAGTGCCTGCAGTTTTGGAAGGCATGACTGGAAGATACTTCACGTTGTGCTTACACTGCAACCTTCCAAAAGCAGGATGTTTTTTCTCAAAGAGGTAGATTGTCAATGAATGTCAATGATATATTTGGTTGTACTTAGTTCAAAATAGATTGGGTAGCCTTTGTCCTGTCAGCAACACCGCCATCAGAAACGATCAGAAATCCGCGGCTGCATTGCCAGGTGAGGGCGATGAGAGAGGCGGCTCTATCCCACTGTCTTCTTTCATCGCTGCTTTTGCTGGAAAACAGGGGCAGGCGCAACAGCTTCACACTTCCAAACACGTTTTAAAGATTTGGCAGATGGCGTCAAATCTGAGAGATCTGCGGCCAGTTGCAAACTCGTTTTACTCGACAGGTGCCGAAGGCTGTGGCGGCAGCCTTAGGTGATGACGTCGTCAGGGTCGACATAGCGAACCTAGACAAAGTCACCCTGACGGAGCTGATGACCTCCCAGTGCCCCGTGAGTTTTTCACGAGAAGCCTTCAAGCACTTGATCAGGCTCTATGGCAAGGACATCGACTTCGAAGGTGACAGGGACGAATCAGCCGAAATTGCGCCCGCCATTGAGGAGGTCATGTCAGACTTGGCCCTGTGCAACGTGGTGCGTTTGGATTTGACAGGATGCAGTTTCATCCCAGCAGCTGCGTGGCAGCGGCTGCACGGTGCCGACTGGCGGAACCTGAAGATTGCCAGATTTGATCTGTGGTAACTTGGCAGAGGACGTGGAGATGTTTCCTGAAATTGATATTTGTTGTTCCCACTTGCTTTGGTGGGCGACGTTAACAAATGTTTTGGATGAATGCTCAAATCACATGTGGATTGACTCGGGATGTTGTTCAGTTGGTGAGAGTTTTGGTGAATCTATATCATAGTCAGTTGCCACAGTGTCACTTTGAATTGATATCTTTGTTGTTCCTTCCGGACCCTTGTCCGCGCGCACCGAAAGAGACGCAGTACTGCAGGGCACGGCGGTTTTTATGTCATATTTGCCAGTGTACGCAGGGTTTCGCGACCCATGGGGTGGGGTGGGGTGGGGTAGGGCAGTGATGACGTTCCTTTGGACTTGATCACGTTGTTGATGCTACGCCACGCATTGGGGTGGGGTTGGGGTGGGACAGTGCTGCATGCTTTAGCCGTTTACAGAAAAGAAAGGATGAGTCGAATAGGGTGCGAACCGCAAAAAATTCGGAGACTTGAGCCAGGACAAAGACTGGCTGAAGGTGTGGCGCAAAAACGAAATAAAAGACAAATGCTCTATTAACCTCTATTGACAAGCATGGGCACATGAAATCTTCAAGTTGGATTCCACAATCAAATCTGCACACAAAACATTTATATATACATATTATATTTATATATGTTTGTATCTGTATATATATATAGATAGATATATGGATACGTATGCATATAGATATATTAACGTCGTTACATGCAGAGATTTCAAAATCTAACAGCGGTCCGAAACGTTGTTCAATCCTTCCTGTCTCACCTTGCACCAGGTGCTTTGCCGGAAGCAGCAAAGGCGTCGATGACGCCGCAGATCTTCTCCAAGTTCTGGGCAAAGCGACGACTTTGGAGGAGTTGGTCTTCTACGACTGCACCCAGATCCCAGCAGCTGCGTGGCAGCGCCTGCACGGTGCCGACTGGCGGAACCTGAAGATTGCCAGATTTGATCGGCAACTTGGCAGAGGACGTGGAGATGTTTCCTGAAATTGATATTTGTTGTTCCCACTTGCCTTGGTGGGCGACGTTAACAAATGTTTTGGATGAATGCTGAGATCACATGTGGATTGACTCGGGATGTTGTTCGGTTGGTTAGAGTTTTGGTGAATCTATATCATAGTCAGTTGCCACAGTGTCACTTTGAATTGATATCTTTGTTGTTCAATCCTTCCTGTCTCACCTTGCACCAGGTCCTTTGGCCTCAACAGAAAAGGCGTCGATGGCGCAGGAGATCTTCTCCAAGTTCTGGGCAAAGCGACGACTTTGGAGGAGTTGGTCTTCTGCGAATGCAACCACATCCCAGCAGCTGCGTGGCAGCGGCTGCACGGTGCCGACTGGCGGAACCTGAAGATTGCCAGATTTGATCGGCAACTTGGCAGAGGACGTGGAGATGTTTCCTGAAATTGATTTTTGTTGTTCCCACTTGCCTTGGTGGGCGACGTTAACAAATGTTTTGGATGAATGCTGAGATCACATGTGGATTGACTCGGGATGTTGTTCGGTTGGTTAGAGTTTAGGTGAATCTATATCGGAGTCAGTTGCCACAGTGTCACTTTGAATTGATATCTTTGTTGTTCAATCCTTCCTGTCTCACCTTGCACCAGGTGCTTTGGCCTCGGCAGCAAAGGCGTCGATGGCGCCGCAGATCTTCTCCAAGTTCTGGGCAAAGCGACGACTTTGGAGACGTTGGTCTTTGAAGGCTGCTCCCAGATCCCAGCAGCTGCGTGGCAGCGCCTGCACGGTGCCGACTGGCGGAATCTGAAGATTGCCAGATTTGATCGGCAACTTGGCAGAGGACGTGGAGATGTTTCCTGAAATTGATTTTTGTTGTTCCCACTTGCCTTGGTGGGCGACGTTAACAAATGTTTTGGATGAATGCTGAGATCACATGTGGATTGACTCGGGATGTTGTTCGGTTGGTTAGAGTTTTGGTGGATCTATATCGGAGTCAGTTGCCACAGTGTCACTTTGAATTGATATCTTTGTTGTTCAATCCTTCCTGTCTCACCTTGCACCAGGTGCTTTGGCGACGACAGCAAAGGCGTCAATGGCGCAGCAGATCTTCTCCAAGTTCTGGGCAAAGCGATGACTTTGGAGGAGTTGGACTTTGAAGGCTGCTCCCAGATCCCAGCAGCTGCGTGGCAGCGGCTGCACGGTGCCGACTGGCGGAACCTGAAGATTGCCAGATTTGATCGGCAACTTGGCAGAGGACGTGGAGATGTTTCCTGAAATTGATATTTGTTGTTCCCACTTGCCTTGGTGGGCGACGTTAACAAATGTTTTGGATGAATGCTGAGATCACATGTGGATTGACTCGGGATGTTGTTCGGTTGGTTAGAGTTTTGGTGGATCTATATCGGAGTCAGTTGCCACAGTGTCACTTTGAATTGATATCTTAGTTGTTCAATCCTTCCTGTCTCACCTTGCACCAGGTGCTTTGGCGACGACAGCAAAGGCGTCAATGGCGCAGCAGATCTTCTCCAAGTTCTGGGCAAAGCGATGACTTTGGAGGAGTTGGACTTTGAAGGCTGCTCCCAGATCCCAGCAGCTGCGTGGCAGCGGCTGCACGGTGCCGACTGGCGGAATCTCAAGATTGCCAGTTTTGTTGAGTAACTTGGCAGAGGACGTGGAGATGTTTCCTGAAATTGATATTTGTTGTTCCCCCTTGCTTTGGTGGGCGACGTTAACAAATGTTTTGGATGAATGCTGAGATCACATGTGGATTGACTCGGGATGTTGTTCAGTTGGTTAGAGTTTTGGTGAATCTATATCGGAGTCAGTTGCCACAGTGTCACTTTGAATTGATATCTTTGTTGTTCAATCCTTCCTGTCTCACCTTGCACCAGGTGCTTTGACGACGACAGCAAAGGCGTCGATGGCGCCGCAGATCTTCTCCAAGTTCTGGGCAAAGCGATGACTTTGGAGCGCTTGGACTTCGACGACTGCTCGCAGATCCCAGCAGCTGCGTGGCAGCGAGTGCCGTCCGGCGCCTGGCCCAAGCTCAAGCCACGCAAAGCCCCTGGCGTCCCGGCAGAGGAGTTGCAACGGTTTGTGGCACCAAGTGGAGGCCTCCGGGGGTGGTGGGGTCTGCAGCTTGTGTTGATCAGAGCAGATGACGTGTGACAGTTTCGAAGTTCGGCTCGGGAGACTTTGCATCTTGGGCTGAAAAGAATTTCATCTAACTCTGAGGAACACCTTGATGCATATGCATCATCTGCCATTCTATGCCATCTTTTCTACGGCTGTCTATTTTGGTGTGAGTATGGTGAAAAGCGGCGGCGCAAAGATTCCAGAGAAGTTGGAAAGTGAAATCCAAGACCTTGCCCCCAATAAACAACCTTTGTGGCAGCGGTTTCTGGGAGAAGGGCTGAGGAATCTACACGACACGAAAGCGATAAAAAAGCAGCCAGCAAAGACACAGGTTGTATTGCGCAACAAAAAAATGCCAGCTGTGTTTTTATGCACCAGCCCTCCCATTGGCATTGGCATATTGGATTCCCATCCGCACAGGAGTTGCTTCAGAACACAAGGAAGACCGAGAAGTTGCCACCAAGGTGGCGATGCCCGGACCAAGGCATCTCAAAGTTGTCAGAGCTCGAAACCTGGAGGCGAACAAAGGAGATGCACTGCTGCAGGGCTTGAGCCAATCGACGACTTTGGAGACGTTGGACTTCGACAGCTGCGACCAGATCCCAGCAGCTGCGTGGCAGCGGCTGCACGGTGCCGACTGGCGGAATCTCAAGATTGCCAGTTTTGTTGAGTAACTTGGCAGAGGACGTGGAGATGTTTCCTGAAATTGATATTTGTTGTTCCCACTTGCTTTGGTGGGCGACGCTAACAAATGTTTTGGATGAATGCTGAGATCACATTTGGATTGACTTAGGATGTTGTTCAGTTGGTTAGAGTTTTGGTGGATCTATATCGGAGTCAGTTGCCACAGTGCCACTTTGAATTGATATCTTAGTTGTTCAATCTTTCCTGTCTCACCTTGCACCAGGTGCTTTGGCGACGACAGCAAAGGCGTCGATGGCGCAGCAGATCTTCTCCAAGTTCTGGGCAAAGCGACGACTTTGGAGGAGTTGGTCTTCCACAGATGCAACCAGATCCCAGCAGCTGCGTGGCAGCGGCTGCACGGTGCCAACTGGCGGAACCTGAAGATTGCCAGTTTTGTTGAGTAACTTGGCAGAGGACGTGGAGATGTTTCCTGAAATTGATATTTGTTGTTCCCACTTGCTTTGGTGGGCGACGTTAACAAATGTTTTGGATGAATGCTGAGATCACATTTGGATTGACTTAGGATGTTGTTCAGTTGGTTAGAGTTTTGGTGGATCTATATCGGAGTCAGTTGCCACAGTGTCACTTTGAATTGATATCTTAGTTGTTCAATCCTTCCTGTCTCACCTTGCACCAGGTGCTTTGGCCTCAACAGCAAAGGCGTCGATGGCGCAGCAGATCTTCTCCAAGTTCTGGGCAAAGCGACGACTTTGGAGGAGTTGGCCTTCCACAGATGCAACCAGATCCCAGCAGCTGCGTGGCAGCGGCTGCACGGTGCCGACTGGCGGAATCTGAAGATTGCCAGATTTGATCGGCAACTTGGCAGAGGACGTGGAGATGTTTCCTGAAATTGATATTTGTTGTTCCCACTTGCTTTGGTGGGCGACGTTAACAAATGTTTTGGATGAATGCTCAAATCACATGTGGATTGACTCAGGATGTTGTTCAGTTGGTTAGAGTTTTGGTGAATCTATATCATAGTCAGTTGCCACAGTGTCACTTTGAATTGATATCTTTGTTGTTCAATCCTTCCTGTCTCACCTTGCACCAGGTGCTTTGACGACGACAGCAAAGGCGTCGATGGCGCAGCAGATCTTCTCCAAGTTCTGGGCAAAGCGATGACTTTGGAGGAGTTGGACTTTGACAGATGCTCCCAGATCCCAGCAGCTGCGTGGCAGCGCCTGCACGGTGCCGACTGGCGGAACCTGAAGATTGCCAGATTTGATCGGCAACTTGGCAGAGGACGTGGAGATGTTTCCTGAAATTGATATTTGTTGTTCCCACTTGCTTTGGTGGGCGACGTTAACAAATGTTTTGGATGAATGCTGAGATCACATTTGGATTGACTTAGGATGTTGTTCAGTTGGTTAGAGTTTTGGTGGATCTATATCGGAGTCAGTTGCCACAGTGCCACTTTGAATTGATATCTTAGTTGTTCAATCCTTCCTGTCTCACTTTGCACCAGGTGCTTTGGCAACGACAGCAAAGGCGTCGATGGCGCAGCAGATCTTCTCCAAGTTCTGGGCAAAGCGACGACTTTGGAGGAGTTGGTCTTCCACAGATGCAACCAGATCCCAGCAGCTGCGTGGCAGCGGCTGCACGGTGCCAACTGGCGGAACCTGAAGATTGCCAGTTTTGTTGAGTAACTTGGCAGAGGACGTGGAGATGTTTCCTGAAATTGATATTTGTTGTTCCCACTTGCTTTGGTGGGCGACGTTAACAAATGTTTTGGATGAATGCTGAGATCACATTTGGATTGACTTAGGATGTTGTTCAGTTGGTTAGAGTTTTGGTGGATCTATATCGGAGTCAGTTGCCACAGTGTCACTTTGAATTGATATCTTAGTTGTTCAATCCTTCCTGTCTCACCTTGCACCAGGTGCTTTGGCCTCAACAGCAAAGGCGTCGATGGCGCAGCAGATCTTCTCCAAGTTCTGGGCAAAGCGACGACTTTGGAGGAGTTGGCCTTCCACAGATGCAACCAGATCCCAGCAGCTGCGTGGCAGCGAGTGCCGTCCGGCGCCTGGCCCAAGCTCAAGCCTTCGAAAACCCCTGGCGTCCCGGAGGAGGAGCTGCAGCGCATCTGTGGCGATGGGAGGCAGGGCTGGGCACATGCTGAAACTTCCGCTTTTTCTTGCAGGTTTGTGAGGCATTGGTCGGTGGCTGAGAAGGAATGTAGGTGACAAGGGAAGGTTGCGATGTAGATGTCTTCCATGAAAAATACATCATGCACCCATGTCTTTGGAGAAACCGGAATGGTTGTGCTTCTTTCCAGGTCTTCCAAAACACTTGGATCTTTTTGGGGCTCTAAAAGGGTGACCCTAGAGTTTGCTCCTGTTACCCTTGCATTTGATGTGGTCAATTTGCAACGCGCATGGCACATCATTATTTGCACACGCACACATGAAAACATGCTACGAGCTCTTCATCACCATATAATCACCATCAACATGTTTGGCCATTCGTGCAGCAATCTGGAGCGAATGCAGAAACATCTCATACAGTCTGCATCAGATTTATCAAGGCCAACTGAGCTACAGAAAGGTTGTAGTAGTTTGAATTAAAAATGCGAAAACAATGTGGAAACACATGTCTTTTGAAAATGTAAAAACAATGTGAAAAGATGTATCTTTTTAAAGCAATTTTGAAGCTTTGTTCCTTTTCCTTCTGCATTTGATTTTATGTTTTTGCTCCTGGTAGTCATTGCTTTTGTATAGATATATTGAACAGATCTGAGATTTGCACAGTCCACTTCCGATCGATTTGAACTGCTCCTCTCCGATTTTCAACCTGCAGAAGTTGGCAGGCAGCAAAGTAACTGCAGCAAAACTGGACCCCAAAAAATCAAAGTTCCACCTTCCCAACTGGATGTTCAAATGTGTTTTTTTCACATTTTTCACATTCTTTTTTCACGTTTTTTCCAAGTGCATTTTCAAAACGCATTTCTTTCACATTTTTTCCAAGCGCATTTTCAAGACGCATTTTTTTCGCATGTTTTCTCATTTTTCACATTTTTGTGAAACAATGTGAAAACATGCGAGAAAATGCGTTTTGAAAATGCGCTTGGAAAAAATGTGAAAAACATGCGTTTTGAAAGCAGTTGAAAAGTTCCTGTTTCTTAGCTCCATTTTCCCATGTTTTTTCCAGATATATGTTTTTCAAGTTTTCTTTGAAATCCAATATTACATTATAGAATAGAATATTAAACTTAAACATCAGGATTCCACATAAGCATATATTCATTTTCAATGATTCATGTCAATAGGTTCACAATGAATGCAAATTCTTTTTAATTTAAATTAGGAAAAGTATTTAAAGATGCAATTTCCTGTTTTTTCAACATTTTCCACATTTGTTCACACTTTTTCACATTTTTAACATTTTTTCACATTTTTGAAATGCATTTTTCACATATTTTCCAAGCGCATTTTCAAAATGTTTTTTTACATTTTTCAGATTTTTAATCAATCAATCATTGTTTTCAAGCTTGTAGCTGGAAACGGCCATGATAAAGCTAGATAAGATGAAACTGGTGTAAACATGTGTAAACGTGGTGGCGCGAAGACTTGAGAGATAGGGCCTAAATGACAATATTTGAGAATCTGGCAGCACATGTTGTTCGTCCAACTATGTCCAACTGACCAGTTTCGGTATTGCTGCAACTTGGAGGTCTTGATTGATCTAAATTGAATTGGTTGTGTGGAGCTGGCGAGGGAACCGTTGCAACAAGGTCATTGCGGCAAGAAATGTCATCTATGCAGGCTAAACGCATAAGCCACGTATGGAAAATGTTATGCATTGGATAGATCGATTGTTTTGGCCCTTGTGAATTCACGGTGAAAAGACATCTTTGGCTTTACGGTGTTCCTTTCCTCTCCTGTCTGACTGGTTCGCGTTACCGGCGCTGCTCAACTTCCGATGTTTTGGACCTTTAGCATGTGTGAAACAGCGCCCACCACGTTGCAATTCCGCGTTTTAGAAGGTTGGATCATTGGTTAGCACTTAGAAGATATTGCTCAACTGGTCGGGCCACCAAGTAAAAGGGTGTAAAAAGTGCGGTCATTCCGACTTTCAATTTGCCGTGGTGCCCATGGTTTACTGTCATTTGCCCTGCTCCACGGCAATTTCTGAGTACTGCGGCAACAGTTCATGTGCACATGTTTGCACCCCGAACCTCGTGCCAGGCCCCAGTAGAAGCATTGCTCCGGAAGTCCCCTCAAATCTCACCTGGACCTCACCTGCCGAAGTTTCACAAGATCTGCTCGCGACCAAGGCGTCATAATGATTGACCAGCAGATCCTGACAGTGGTTCTGACAACGCCACAAAGTTGGCAAGTCAAACATTCCACGACCCAGGTGGATCCAGGAAAACCTTTGGAAAGATGACTTCATGGTCAGAAACGTTCGATTCACCTGGGCCATTCTGAGTTTAAAGGTGGATTCAGTTATATAACTCATTTGAAAGGCTTGATGACCTTTGCCCGACCTTTGACAGGCACATTATTCGTGTTCTGAACATTCCATCAGTGAGCTCTCCAAGTCATCCAAAGGGCTGCAAACTTGGTATTATCCAGCATTCGGGATGAGCCGCATCAAATCTCGTGGCTTTGCATGCAGTTTGCATGTTAAAAAGTTTTCTCTCTTGTCTCGTGATGCTGCGAGATCATGGAGGTTCGTCGGTTTCAAAGTCTACCGTATCTTGTGCAAATCTCATCCACCTTGACCTGAATCCAAGAGGTGTTCCGATGGGGGCTATGAAAAGTGACCCTCATATAGTTGCACATCAAGCCAAAGGGAATGTTCGAAAACAGTGCGGCGCTTTCATGTCGCTGTTGAACTTACATCAATCCTTGGTCGTATGTCGTATGATCCGTGTAATTCTTTGTTCTGACAACAGACAAAAAGATGTTGATAGCCAATCAACATGCATCAACCGCTGCGCCATTTCAATGACCAGACATGACCAGGCTTTTTTTCCAACGTAATTGGGGATTGAGAAGCCAATGGCAGGCCACGGTGTTGCACGAGTCCCTGCTGGGTGGTGGCCATCAACAATCCGAAACGAATCAGCATGGGAACTTGGGCTCCAACATGGTCGAGTAGATACAGGCGCGGTTTGCAACAGTGGTAGCTGGATTGGTGCTTGACAATGAGATTTTGAAATAGCTCGGCGTTCAAATAGCAGCTTTTTCACTACCTTGAGAGGCGGCCGCTTCAAAGCCCCATCGGCACGTTTCACGCCATGCAGTTTCAGCTCTGATAGTTCTGGAGGCCGCTCCAAAGTCGGCATGAAGCGTCGCCTTGTCACCTGACAATTGCTGCGATTCTGCTCCTTGGGCACTTGCAGAAGCTTCGAAGAAAATCGAGAAACCCTGAGTTTGTTTCTGACACGTTGTTGGAACTGTTGCTCATCAAAGACCAGGCGTACGTTTGGGTCAAGCCGTACCCTGGATTTAAGCTGCATCCCTGGGACATTGTCGGCCGGAACATCTTATGGCTTCATGGTTCGACTACAACATGATGTCTTTGGAAGAAAGCACATAGCGATGCGATATGGAGGTTCAGCAAGTATGAGCAAGGATTACCAAGTTGCGCGTAATTCAGCTCATGACTTTTCACGTGCGCGCGCACTTGTTTGTGCAATTTGTGGGATTTCCACACAGTTAAGTTTCATTTTCTAGTTTGAGAAAGATTTTGACATCTGAGTTAGAGACGACGACATAAATCCAGGCTGCCAGAGAATCTTTTTGGCTGGACCCTTCACCAATATTTTGATGACGTTTATGTACTATTTTGGGGCCCCCTAGGTCCAAAAATGCCCAAAAGATAAAACAAGCAGCCTGAAACTGGGATGCTCCAGCCACTGTGATGCCATGACATGGCAATGGGTTGCCATTCTGCCCCTGTGTGGTGCTCTTGATGGTGGCAATCCAAGCTGCTGGTCAGGCAAGGCCAAGATTGCCTGGAAGCTCATGGATTTTAAAGCTGCAAAAAATGATAGGGAAGTCCCAAAAATTGGACCCTCCTCTGCAGGTGACTTCACTTTTGCGAACTGTTGTGGAGATCCTGCCGCTGGTCGTCCAGCAGATTCATCCTGTTGCGTGGTGATATAACCGGGGCTGCTGGTCGACTATGTATCATTGGTAGAAGCGGGCCCGCAGTATTAGCTACATCACGCCGCAGCATTGGATGCATCAGGTCGTTCAGTAGCATGTATACATAGCTCACATCAAGATTTGAGAATACGAATGATACGAACAACTTCGAGGATTCCCTTTCCAGAAATCTTAGGTTGGGATGGCTACTTTACCGAAGAACTTTGTTGCCACGGCTCAGCTGACCTCCATGGTTTGGGTTCCTCCAGCTGCTGGGAACTCATGGGTTTGGACGCCCGGAGCGGCTTCACCAACTGCTGCAGCCCTGGGACGGCGCGGCGTTCGCAGCAGTGCTGGGGGACCAATCCCATGCTGACGGAAGCGCGCTGCTGTGGGGATGACCTGGTGGATGAAGATCCGGCCAACTTGCCACATGATGCGGTCAGGCGCTTCGACACGGCCATCTCGGCATTGAAACTCGAGCGCTTGGTGTTTTTGTTGGCCTGTTTTTGGTTCAAACAGACGCTTAAGTTGTGTTGCTACTTTATGTTGTTTTTATGCTCTTTCTTGAGATGTATGAGATCTTGGGGATTCTTACACCAGCTGAGGAACATCCACAATTATTTGCATAGCCATCAGGTGCGCAGCAATCCAGGCGCACCAGTTCTTCAATGTGAAGGTCTTGGGGGTTATTGAGATTGAATGGGTAGGAGATCGCCATCGCCTTTGTTTGGTATGATTATTCAAATGTATTTCAAATGTGTGCTCAATGTTGTTGCGTGTTGTTTTCTTCAGAAACATTTGTTGAAATAGAACTCATCAGCAGTTTCAGCATGGATGTGATTTAAGCTGATAGCTGAAGATTTTGCAATGTCAAATATGGTAAACGTGGAGATGGATCGGTACCCCAGGAAGTTGGGGTAGACATCCTGTGCATTTATACGAGTTGAGTTTCTCTGCATTTTCGTGGCAGCTATTTTGGATGCCTTTGTTTCTTGTATCTTTTGGTAGAAATTGATAGTTAAGCCATACAATCCACTCATCTTGTCATTAAAGTTCCAATCCATGGATCCCACCCTGCATTGCAACGCTGTACGCTGTAGGTCTGGGAAAGATCTTTTTGCTGTCGGACGTGTTGACGGTGCATCGTCCCAAGTTGCTGGAAGTGATTCAGCCGAAGGATGTGCCGCGGGCGTCGGCCAAGTATCGACCCTTGAGGCCCCAGGCGTTGCAACCGGCCTCGCATCGGGGGAAAGACCTAGTGGATTTGCCCAACCTGTGCCTTGGTGAAGGTTGGATTGACGACTTTTTGTTGTATTTGTGCAGGAAGGTCACCTTCTGGTTTAATTGAGATGGATTTCTTGCTACATCTTGCTACCCTGAACAACAATCGCGTGGGTGGACTTTCATTTAGAAGTGAAATCATGAGGTTTAAAGATGGCAACATCGTACAACCAGGAAATCCGGTGCCGGATTTTCAGAAGGCAAACCCGCATGATTGAACTGCCATAATCCACACACAGGAGCCAAGATGACCTGCCATCAGATGCCGAAGAGCTGAAAGACTGTCAGGGAGACTGCAAAAATGGCACTTTCTTCTTGCTCTACGCAGAATCCGATGAGTTTCTACTTGAAGCAGTGTCAGCAGTTCAGCATTCCGGGCAGATTTGGGAAGCTTGGAATCTGGGTAAAGTGGCTGATGGCGCTGAGTCATTTTTTTGGTACTTGTTTGTTTAAATTTGAAATATTCCTTTTCCCAAAGGCCTAGCCGGTTTGCGGTTGTCATACGATTCTGTGGACAGGGGAAAGCATCCTGTCGGGACAGGGATGAGTGAGACCTGATGGCTTAACACCCAGCGATCTGACGGGGTCTGCCCTCGATTTGCTCAGGTCAAAAACACGTTGTTTGACCCAATCGGTTGGATTAGAAGATATCAAAAGCTTTGAATCAACAAGAGAACCAAAGCTACAAGTTTGCCGTTTTTGATGGTATCAATGATGTCATCAGCTCTAGGTTCCTGATGATTCATAGATATCTCTAGATCAACAGCTATTATCATGGAGCCTTGGGCCTGATGGTATGAGGTAATTTACGGCCCCATCCAGCTGCACGTTTCCATGAGAAGTACAAGACCCGCTACATTTGGACGGACAAGGCATGCTTGGACGCCTATGAGCCTCGCTTGCGCCAAAGAACTTTAACACCTGAAGCAGCTGGTTGTTTTGCTGCAATTGTTGCCTACTAGGCATTAGTTGTTTTCCGTTTGTCAAGACTTTAGGATACTTTAGGTGCCCTTTTGTCTTTTTGTGCCAAGTCGGCCTGTTCAAAACGGCCAAAATGGGAGAGGTCACAGCTTCAGCAACTGCCTTTGGTCCAATGCGTCGGATGGCGGAAAGCGAGTGCATTTGCCAAGCTCTGGCGATGACGAAGAAATTGCCTGGCGCTTACATGGAGATTGGAGTTTTCGAAGGTGATGCAGATTCTTGGCTGATGGCTGATTGGCTGATATGGGTGGCTGAGGCATGATGGTCTGTAGATGTTTGTAGCACTTACGTAAAAATCATACAGCATTTCTCCACCCAGTTTTACAAATCATTTGCCGCCCCAACTGAGTCCTTAGTGGCCATGGCCTACATGGCGCGGAGTCGCCTGACGCGAAAGGCCTATTTTTTAGACACTTTCCAGGGATTCAATTACGCTGAAGCTAAGCAGTCGACTGAAGTTGGCTTTGCTGGGACCCATCGAGTGTGGCCCACACCGGAACTGGCAGTGGATGCGATCAGAGCCAAGCTGCTACAGGTTGCGGAGTCTTGGCGAGTTTCGGAGCTGGGCGACTTGTAAGATCAAAACACCATAAGACAGCATTTGCCAGTTTGATATTTCAGAAAATTGATTTGACATGTTTTGGCATAGGTTCGGTTCAAGTTGTGACTTAGACTTTCAGTCGCTGGAAGGAGGGAGCTAAAGAGCCCGGGCGGGGTATCTAAATGTCTTATTAAATGGGAAGCCAAGGAGCTACGAATTGAGTTCCCCAGCCACATTATACTTTAGATCTTCAGATTTCAAGAGTTCCGCATTTATTTTGCACTAGTTTGCCTTGGAGCGCAAGGATTCGCCATTCGAACTTGTGATTGCGAACATCCTCCGAGACGAACTTCCATCAGCTGAACGGGAAGTAGCAGTCGCCTATTTGGATGTGGATTCTTATGAGGCGACCTTGGCAGGATTGATAAAGCTCCAGGAGAAATTGGTGGTTGGTGGTATCATCCTTATGGATGATGCCCCCGCAACTCCGAAATTAGCAGGTGCACTCCTAGCGATGCACGAGTTTATGGATCAATACCAAGATCAATTTGTGAAGATGCTTTGGACTGGAGCTTATGCGTTGTTTCGAATCAAATAAAAAGTGATTTAGTCTGAATCATACGAAAAGCCGGAGGAATCATGCAGCCGCTTGAGGAGCTTGAAATAAGCGGATGTTTTTTCTTCGAAAGCTGCTCTGAAATCCCAAAGTGCTTGGCCGTGCAGTGGCAATGTTCTGTTTTTCTTGCAAAGATCCTCAAAAAACTTGTTTTTTTTTGACTTGGAGTTTTTTTCCCAAGATACTTTTCCTACTGGCTTCTTCAGACTTGGTCTATGGTTTGTAGCCGCACAGAGTGGATGTTCAACTTTTAATATATATGTGGAATATTCGTTTTTGGGAACTCCAAAATCCTGCCGCATTTTTATTTACTGAAGTGCAGATTGAATTGTCCACCTCATTGCTGTATTGATGCGTATGTATCCGTACATCGTATACCTTTAAATATTTGTATTTTTCTACTTTTGATTTTAGTTATTGTATTTACCTCTTTTTGGTAAAGAATATATAATTGTTTTACATTGTTAGAAAGCCGATTGTATTTTTTACCTGTTAGGTGATATTTTTGTAAATGTTATCAAAATTACTTCCTTCTCCTCCTGTTCTCTCCTCCTTTCCTCTGCCAGATAGCAATGGGTACTGCCAGACCTCAACCGCAGGCGTTAGATCTCGGTGGATGCAGTGGGCACAGCCTACTGAGATATGGCGCGCAGGGTTGTCCGGCAGTGCCCATGTCAGAGAAAATGTCAGAATAGATGGCAGAAGGAATGGCAGAATAAATGGAAAAAAAAATATCCCGGCAAGAGACACCAAACAGTGTGGGGGAGCGGGGGGATAACGTATGATAATGTGGAGGATGATGACGTTGAGGAGGATGAGGATGAGGATAAGAATGAGGATGATTTTTTTGCGGACGATGATGTTGAGGATGATGAGGTGTAGGAGGAGGATGTGGGGGATGATAATTTTGTGGAAGATAAGGTGTCGGATAATGATGTTGAGGATTATGATGGCAAGGGCGAAAAAGATAA